GACCCCCAGGGCTCCGACAGGAACCCGTACCCGGGGTGGATGGCGTCCACCTCGTTCTCCTGGAAATGGGGGGATTAGGGGGGCTTTGGGGGGCTTTGGGACCCCCAGGGCCAGCAGGGCACCCATGGGGGATTTGGGGGCTCATGGGGCCGTCTGGACACCCCTGTGGGCACCCCCCGTGTCCCCAGGTGTGTCACAGCTGTGTCCCCCCATGTCCCCACTGTCCCCAGGTGTGTCGCAGCTGTGTCCCCCCATGTCCCCACTGTCCCCAGGTGTGTCGCAGCTGTGTCACAGCTGTCCCCAGGTGCGTCCCCGTACCTGTGCCACGCGGATGATGTCGGGGATGTGCAGGTAGGCCTGCACGGGGGGCAGCCCCCTCCCCACCAGGTACGCCTCGTCCGCCTTCTGCCGGTGCATCTGCCCCGTGTCCTGCTCCGAGTACACGGCCACCGTGCGGATGCCCAGCTCTGTGCAGGCCCGGAACACGCGGATGGCGATCTCACCTGGGGACATTGGGGACATTGGGGACATTGGGGACATTGGGGACACAGGGACAGGGACACAGGGACAGGGCCACCATGCAGGTCCTCAGCTTCTGTGCACGCCCAGAACATGTGGGTGGTGACTTCACCCTGGGGACACTCTGAGGACACCTTGGGGACGCCTGGGGACACCTTGGGGACACTTGAGGACACGGGGACACCTGGGGACAACAACTTGGCAACCTCACCAGGGGCCACACGGGGTCGGGGGGGGGATTCAAGGGACATTGGAGGGTCCCGGGGGTCTCAGGGGGGTCTCAGGGGGGTCAATGGGCTCTCAGAGGGGTTCAGGGGGATCTCAAGGGTTCTCAGGTGGTCTCAGGGTGGGTTTGAGGAGGGGTCTCGGGGGGTCTCCAGGCACTCACCCCTATTGGCCACCAGCACCTTGTGCAGGGGCCGGGGGTCTCAGGACACTCAGGGGTCTCATGGGGGGCTCAGGGGGGCTCAGGGGGTTTGAGGAGGGGTCTCCAGGCACTCACCCCTGTTGGCCACCAGCACCTTCCTCAGGGGCCGGGAGCTGAGGGGTCTGGGGGGCTCAGGGGGTTTAAAGGGGGGGTCCCGGGGGTCTCCCATCACTCACCCCTGTTGGCCACCAGCACCTTCCTCAGGGGCCGGTAGCTGACGGGCCGGGCGGGCCCGGGGGGGCCCCGGAGCAGCCGCAGCCCCAGGAGGGCGCGGCCCCCGCGGGGGCGGCACAGCTGGAACATCTGGGGGGGGAAAGGAAGGGAAATTGGATCATTTGGACAATTGAGGGGCGGGGGAAGGAAATTGAGACCCCCGTTCCCTCCTCAAAGGGAGGATCCCCCGCCCCTCCCCCCAAATCCCCTCTGCCCCGCTGACCTTTGACCCCTCCCGAGTCAAAAAGCCCCCGGGCTCCCCCTCCCCCGCTCACCTCTGCCCCAGTGACCTTTGACCTACCCCACTTTGATCTTCCTTTGCATGGGGGTCTCAGCCCAAAATCCCCCCAAATTCCCCCCTAAAATCCCCAATTTTTGCTCAAAATGCCCCAAAAAATTCCCCCAAATTCTCACCCAAAAAATTCCCCCAAATTTACCCCAAAAAATGCCTCCTAAAATTCCCCCAAATTCCTCCCCAAAAAATCCCTAAAAATCCCCTAAAATCCCCCAAATTCCCCCCAAAAATTCCTCCAAAATTCCTCCAAAAATCTCCCAAATCCCAACCCCCAATTCCCCAAAAATCCCTAAAAATCCCCTAAAATCCCACAAATTCCCCCTCCAAAATCCCCAAAATTTCCCCAAAAATTCCTCCAAAATTCCCCCAAAAAATCCCTCCTAAAATCTCCCGAAATCCCACCCAACCCCCCCCAAAAAATCCCTAAAAATCCCCCAAAATCCCCCAAATCCCCCTCCCGCACCAGGATTTTTACACAACAGCCCCCTTGCACACTCAGGCCCGGCCTGTCCCCCTTGCACAACCCCCCCTCCCCCTCCCCTTGCACAACCCCCCTCCCCCCCTTGCACAATCGCCTCTTGCACGAGAATCCCCCCCCACAAATCTGCACAAATCCCCCTCCCCATTTTGCACAAACCCCCTCCCAAAATTCCCCTGCTTTGCACAAGCGTCCCCCCCATTTTGCACAATCCCCCCCTTTTTGCACAAATCCCCCTCCCCATTTTGCACAATCCCCCTTGCACAACTCCCCCCTTTTGCACAAGCGTCCCCCCCCCCTCCTTGCACAAACCCCCCTCCCCTTTTGGCACAAATTCGCACGAATCTCCTCCCCCCCTTTTTTGCAAACCCCCCTCCCCATTTGCACAACCCCCCCCTTGCACGAGTGTCCCCGTGCCCCCTCCCACCCCCTGCACGACCCCAGCCCCTCCCGAGCCCCCTCCCCATCCCCGGTACCGGCACCGTCCCGTCCCCTGTCTGGCCCGGTGTCCGTCTGTCCGTCTGTCCCGGTGTCCCTTCCCCTCTGGAACCCCCCCATCCCCGGTACCGCCACCGTTCTGTCCCGCTGTCCCCTCTCTGTCCGTCTGTCCCGGTGTCCCCTCCCTCCCGAACCCCCCCCATCCCCGGTACCGTCACCGTTCTGTCCCGGTGTCCGTCTGTCCCTGTGTCCCGGTGTCCCCCCTCTGTCCCGGTGTCCCCCCTCTGTCCGTCTGTCCGGCCGGTTCCCCGACCCCCCCCCGCCCCCTCCCCGGTGAATCATTGACCGGGGGGGGCAAAGTCCGACCGGCACCGGGGGGGGCACCGGGGGGGGCACCGAGGGGCAAACCGGGACAAACCGGGGCAAACTGGGGCAAAACCAGGGGAAACTGGGGCAAAATGGAAAAAAAAACCTGGGGCAAATGGGGGAAATTGGGGCAAAATGGGGCAAACTGGGGGAAAATGGGAAAAAGTGGGGGAAATTGGGGAAAATGGGGGAAACTGGGAGAAACTGGGGGAAACTGGGGGAAAATGGGGGAAATGGGGCAACAAAGGGGGGGAATGGAGCAAAATGGGGAAAAATTGGGGCAAACTGGGGGAAACCGGGGCAAATGGGGGAAACTGGGGTAAAAATGGGGGGAAATGGGAAAAAAATGGGGCAAAATGGAGGGAAATGGGTAAAAATGGGGAGAAATGGGGCAAAATGGGGCTCTGGGCCCTATAGGGGCTCTATGGGGGGTCTCTGTTCCTACGGGGGGGGAACAGGGGGGTCTTGGGACTTACAGGGGGTCCCATAGGAGGCCCCATATGGGGATCCGACAGGGGGTCCCAAACCCCACAGGGGCTTCCATAGGGGATCCCATAGGGGGTCCCATGGCAGGTCCAAACCCTATAGGGGATCCCATATGGGATTTTATAGGGGATCCTAAAGGGGGTCCCAAACCCCATAGGGGGTCCCATAGGGGGTCCTGGGCCCCATAAAGACCCTGAGGACCTATAGAAGGTCACAAGTCCTATAAAGGATCCTATATGGGATCCTGTAGGGAATTCTGTAAGGGATCCTCTAGGGGGTCCTAAAGGGGGTCCCATGGGGGTCCCGGGCCCCATAAAGACTTTGAGGACCCCATAGAAGGTCGCAGGCCCTATAGGGGATCCCATATGGGATTTTATAGGGGAGCTTATAGGGGATATTATAGCGAATCCTAAAGGGGTTCGTATAGGGGGTCCCATAGGGGGTCCCAGCCCCATAAAAACTCTGAGGACCCCAGAGGGTCGCAGGCCCTATAGGGGATCCCATAGGGGTCCCACATGGGATTTTATAGGGGTTCCCACAGGGGGTCCCACAGGGGGTCCCACGGGGGTCCCCAATTCCGCTCCGTGTGTTGGGGGGGGGGGTCGAGGAGGTCGCGGGGGTCCCCGGGTTGGGGGGCGGCCCCTCCCCCCCCCCCAGCGCTGACCCCCACGGCGGGGTCATGTCGCGACAGTCGGGCGATACCGGAGGTCACGTGGTTGCTCACTCACCGCTCCGCGACCGCCGCTTCCCCCCGCGTCCCGGCGGCCCCGCTGGCCACGCCCCCTCTGCCCCCATTGGCCGCTCGCCAGCGGCCCCGCCTACTCCTGGGGAGGCCGCGCCCTTTTACCCAAACATGGCTTCTCATTGGCTCAGCCGCTTCCGCCCTCGCCTCGCCATTGGCCCAATCAAATGTCACGCATCCCCCCGGGCCCCGCCCCCTTGCTCATCGCATGAATGGGCGGGGCTCCATGACGTCAGAGCCGAGCCTCCGGCTGCCATTGGCGTCTCCGCGGGCGCTGACGGGGCGGGGGCGGAGCCAAAGGGGAGGGGCGGGACCGGGTGATCTCACGTGATTCGCGCTGGCCCCGCCCTTACCGGATGTGCAGCGAGCCGTCCTCCCGGCCGGTAGGGGGCGCCCTTTGCCGGCAGTGGCGGCGCTCCCGGGACCGCCGGGGCTCTCTATGGCCGCTGCCCCCCCGGGGGTCTCCCCCAGCCCCTCGGGGCGCTCTGAGGCCGCTTCCCCCCCTCAGGGAGCGGTTCTGCGCCCCCCCACACTGGGGAAGGACCTGGGGCCTTTAGGAGCCTTTAGGAGGGTGCAGGCTTCTCCCCCCGCCCTCTAAGAAACGTCCTAAAGACCCTCACCGCCTTTAGGAGGACATTCCACGGGGGAATCCCCGCTATAGGAGATCCTGTGACGGGAGTGCGGGGCCGCAGAGCCCCCAAAACGGTTCTCCCGCACAGGAACCCTTCAGAACCCCTTCCCCTCATGTGGGGCTCCCTTGGGACCATAACTCCCGTCGTGCACCGCGCCACTCCAGCCGCGCGCAGGCGCAGCTTCTCCTTCTCCCGCTGCTGCCATGGCAACTGCGGGGGCCCCCTTCGTTATACGCATGCGCATCAGCGCCGAGCTGCGGCGGGAGGGCGGTGCGCCGCCATGCCGAGGTTCTGATTGGTCCAGGCGCTCCAGCTCCTCCCACATGCAGCAGGTGCGGGGCGCTGATTGGTTTGCTGTCGCCGGCCACGCCTCCGCCGGCACCGCCCCCCCCGCAGTCGGGGCGCGGCCGCCGCCCCGCACGGACGGGCTCGTTCCGCGCTCCGCCGCCGCCGCCGCCATGGCCGATCCCGCCGCGCAGTCCTCGCTCGTCTCCTCCAGCTCCTCGTCCACCTCCGTGGCCTCGTCCTCCGCCTCCTCCACGCGGGGCCTGGTCGGCGGTTCCATGTCGGGCTTCGGTAAGGGCCGGGCGGGGCCTGAGGGGGGTGCGGGAGGTGAGGCCTCGGCGGGGGCGTGAGGGGAAGGAGCCTCTGGGCGTTGGGTGTGAGGTAAAAACCGGCTGGGAGGGGCAGAAATAGCGAGGGAAAGCCTTGAGGCGGCGGTTAATGGGAGCAGGAGGCCTTTGGGGGGAAGATCTGGCGGAAAAGCGGCGTTTGGAGGCTCGGTGTGAGGTAAAAAGTGTTTTAGAGGGGGTTAGAAACGGGTGAGGGAAGAACGAGAGGGGAAAATGAGGCAGAAAAGGCCTTGGGGGAGCGGATTTGGGGTGCAGGGACTTGAGGGGGCATTGAGGCCTTTTGGGGGTCTCTGTGAGGTTGAGGGGCTTGGGGGACAGAAATGAGGGGTTAAAGAAGTTTTGGGGTAAAACAGAGAAGAAAAGACCTTTGGAGGAGCACATTTTGGGGAATGATGCTTTTAGGGGGATTTCAAAGGGGTAAATAAGTTTTTATAGGGAGATTTTAGAGGACAAAGAGGCTTTGAAGTGGAGATTTGGTCGGTGGAGAAGATTTTGAGAGGTTGGCTTTGATGGGCAGCGACACCTCCACCCCCACATCTCTCAGCAAAACGGGGGGGAAAATGCCCAGAAAAGGGAACTTTGGTGTTTTTTGGGGTCGTTGGGGACCTGGTGCTGCTCCGTCCGTCCTTGCCTCGGATTTTGGGGAGCGGGAATTTCACAGCCCATCATTCCATCCATGGCTCCAGAGCATCCTGACTCTGCAATTCCCAGCATTTCACCCCAATTCCCACCCCTGGGCACCACCGAACCCCAAAACTCCGCGGTTTCACCCCAAATCTCCCCCTCGGGGAGGGAATTTAGGGGTGCCCCCCTCGGGACCCGTCCCTGCGCCGCTCCCTGCCCCCAGAGCTGGGGGAAAAAACCGAGGTGAAAATGCCCAAAATTGGGGATTGCAGCCTGGAATTTTCCTGGTGGATTTTGGCGACGATGAAGCCGTGCCGGCCCCGCCTCCTTGGGGGGGGAGGGGGATTTTGGGGGTTTGGGGCATTTTTGGGGGGTGCCGAGCTCTCACCCTCTGTGTTCTCTTGCAGATCCCCCCAATTCTTCTTCCTCTTCCTCCTCCTCTTCCTCCTCCCAGCCCGTTTCTCTCTTTGCGGCTTCACCAGGCAAGTCTGCCCCTCTCTTCCTCCTTTTTTCCTTTTTTCCTTCATCCTCAGAAAGAAAAATGTCTGGGGAGGGGGGAATCGGGGAGCCCCCCACCCTAAAAAAGCCCCCTGGATTTGGGGGGGGTCCCCAGAGCCATTTTGGGGCTCCCCAAGGTTGGTTTGGGGTCTCAATGTCACATCAAAGGGGGAATCCCCCTAAAATAACCCCTGGATTTTTTGGGGGGGGGGGCACAAACGCCGCTGAGCCCCCCCTCCCCCCCCAAAAATGGGGCAACAAAGGGTTAAACTGACCAAACCCAGACATTTTTCTTTTGCTCTCTTTTCCTGCTCTTTATCTCGGTTTCTTGGCCTTTTTTCGGGGTGACCCCCCCAGCTTCACCCCCTGCACCCCAAGGCTGCTCCCCTCCCCCCCCAAAGCTTTGCACGCCCCCCCCGCTGCTGCTCGAGGTGAAATTCCTCATTTTCTGTGCTTTGGCCTCAAAAATTCCTGCCCCCCCCCCCCCCCCCCAATGCCCGACCCGCCTGCGCCGCGTCCCACCCGCCGCTGGGGGGGCTGGAATGGGGGGAGAGACCCCAAAATCCCCCCCAAAATGGGGAGGGGCTGAAGGAACCCCCAGACCCAAAACTGGGGGGAGAGACCCCAAAATCCCCCCCAAAATGGGGAGGGGCTGAAGGAACCCCAGACCCAAAACTGGGGGGGAGAGACCCCAAAATCCCCCCCAAAATGGGGAGGGGCTGAAGGAACCCCCAGACCCAAAACTGGGCGGTTTCACCCCAAAAATGAATAGAGGGACACCCCCAATTTTCAGCACCCAAAGCTGCAGGTTTGGGGTGTCCCCCCCCAACATCAATCTGAACCCAAAATGGGGGGGGGTTAACCCCAAAATGGGGTCTGGGTTTGGTTCCAAAATGAGCTTTTTTAGCCCCAAAATGAGATTTGGGTTTGGTCCCAAAATGTTCTTTCTTAGCCCCAGAATTGGGTTTGGGTTTGGTTCCAGAATGGGCATTTTTAGCCCCAAAATTGGGGTTTTTAGCCCCAAGCAGGGGTCTCTCCTCCCTGGATTTTGGGGTGTATTTGGGGGGGTTTGGGGGGAGCCTCTGTGCCGCCGCTTGACCCCCCCCCCCGCATGGGGGAACCCCAAAATTCTCTGGGGGACCCCAAAATTACCCTCACGCATGGCTGAGATCGGGGGACCCCAAAATTCTGCAGGGGGACCCCAAAACCGCCCCCAGGCTTGGCTGAGATCGGGGGAACCCCTGAATTTTGGGGAGCATGGCTGGAATGGGGGGGAACCCCAAAATCTGCGTGGGGACCCCAAAACCGCATGGCTGGGATAGGGGGGGGCCTCAAAATTCCCCTGGGGGTGCCCAAGGCCACCAAATGGGGGGGACAGAATGGGAGGGACCCTCAGAATGGGGGACAGAGGGGACCCCAAAACCCTCCTGGGGGTTCTTGAGGCCCCCAAATGGGGGGGCCCCTCACAATGGGGGATAGGGGACACCACAAAACCCCCGAGGCCACCAAATGGGGGGCACACAACGGGGGGGACCCTCAGAACGGGGGACAGGGCGGACCCCAAAACCACTCTGGGAGTCCCCAAGGCCACCAAACTGAGCGGGACAGAGCATTGGGGGACCCTCAGAACGGGGGGGAAGCCCAAAACCCCCTTGGGGGTGCCCGAGGCCACCGAATGGTGGGGACAGAACGGGGGGGGGACCCCAAAATTCCCCGAGGCCACCAAACGGGGGGCACCGAACGGGGGGACCCTCAGAACGGGGGACAGGGGGCACCCCAGAATCCCCCTGGGGTGCCCGAAGCCACCAAACGGGGGCCACAGAACGCGAGGGGACCCTCAGAACGGGGGACAGGGGGCACCCCAGAATTCCCCGAGGCCACCGAACGCTGGGCACAGAGCGGGGGTGACGCTCGGCCGGGCCCGGGGCGCCCCCTGAGCTCACCGTGTCCCCCCCCCCGCAGCGGCGCCGGGCGGGCGGGACCGGGGTCCCCCCCCGAGCCCCCCCGAGTCCCCGGAGTCGCCGTTCGAGGTGGTCCCGGACCGCGCCGCCTTCGACCGCGAGTTCGGGCCGGCGCTGGCGCAGATCCCCGAGGGCCGCGAGTGCCACTTCCCGCCCTCGCCCCGCGCCGGCCCCGGCACCGGCCCCGGCACCGGCACCGGCCCCGGCACCATCACCGGCCCCGGGCGGGCGGCGCTGGCGCGGCCCCTGCCCGGCTCGGCGGCGGCGCTGGAGGAGGTGTCGCGCTGCGTGCGGGAGATGCGCAGCTTCACCAGCGAGCTGCTCTCCTGGGACCTGGTGGAGCGGCACCGCGGCGGGGACAACGGCGGCGGGGACGGCGGGGATGGCATCGGGGACGGCGGCGGCGGCAGGAGCGGCGTTAATGGCGTCACCGGCGTCACCGGGGCTGGGAATGGCGTCACCACAGCGGGGAATGGTGTCACCAGTGTCGCTGCCGTGGGGAGTGATGTCACTGGCATTGGGAGTGGTGTCACTGGCATTGGGAGTGGTGTCACTGCTGTCACCTCAATGGGGAAAGGTGTCACTGGTGCCACCAGCATGGGGAATGGTGTCACCGGTGTCACTGCTATGGGGAATGATGTCACCAGCGTCACCACCATTGGGAATGGGGTCGCCAGTGTCACCACAGTGGGGAAAAGCGTCACCGGTGTCACCGCCATGGGGAACGGCTTCCCCGGTGTCACCGCTGTCACCGGCATTGGCAACGGCGTCGCTGGCGGTGGCATCGGGGGCGGCCTCGGCGGCCTCGGGAACGGCGTCACCGTCACTGCCGGCGGTGTCACCGCCGTCACCGGCATCACGAGCGCCATCAGCGCCCCCGGGAACGGCGTCCCCAGCGGTGGCACCTCCGCCGTCCCCGGGGGTGTCCCCGCTGTCCCCACGGACGCCGACAGCTCCGGTGACTCCGACGACACCGTCATCGAGGAGGCGCCGGCCGAGGGCCCCCCTGCTGTCCCCAGGGATGTCCCCAGGGATGTCCCCGCTGTCCCCAGGGATGTCCCCAAGGATGTCCCTGCTGTCCCCACTGTCCCCGTCCAGGAGCACCAGATCCTGCAGGAACTGGGGGAGCCCCCCCCGGCCCCCCCTGGCCGGGACCCTGCCCCGCCTGGCAGGTAAAGACCCAAAAAGGGCCTTGGAACCCCAAAAAAGGGCCTTGGAACCCCAAAAAGGGCATTTGGAACCCCAAAAAGGGCTTTGGAACCCCAAAAAAGGGCTTTGGAACCCCAAAAAGGGCATTTGGAACCCCAAAAAAGGGCTTTAGAACCCCAAAAAAGGGCTTTGGAACCCCAAAAAGGGCATTTGGAACCCCAAAACGGTGCCGAAAGCAGCAAGGGGGGGAGGGGGCTGTGGGTGGACCCCAAATTGGGGTAGAAAAGAGGAGAAATGGGAACAGCGCAGCCCCGAGGGCAGCAGGGAGGGGAGGCCCAGGGCTGCCTTGTTTTGGGGTGAAATCCGGGGATTTGGGGTAAAATCTGGGGAATTTTGGGCCAAACCCGCCGGCACATCGAGGGGAGTTAATTAACGCCTGGTTTTAACGGGGGGGTGTAATTAATTAACTGCTGTGTGTAATGAAGGGGCTGTTTAATGAGCGAGGGTAATTAGTGCATTAATGGGGAAGGGGAAAAGTGGCGTTGGGGGAAATTGGGGGGGGTACAATGTGGGGACCTCTTGTGACCCTCCCTGCGTCCCCTCATTGTCACCCTTGGTGACCTCTGTCACCTCCTGTGTCCCCTCCTTGTCACCCTCTGTGACCTCTGTCACCCTATGATCTGGCCTTGTCACCCCTTTGTCCTCCTTTGTGTCCCATCCTTGTCACCCTCTGTGACCTGTCTGTGTCACCCCGTGTCATCCCTGTGTCCCCTCACTGTCCTCCCTATGACCTGTCCTTGTCCCCCTTTGTGTCCCCCTTTGTGTCCCCGTCTCCTCCTTGTCCCTCATTTATTTCCCCTCGCGTCCCATCCTTGTCACCCCCTGCGTCCCCCCTTGTCACCTCTCACGTCCCCTCCTTGTCCCCCCATATCTCCCCTTGTGTCCACTCCTTGTCCCTCCTTAATTCCCCCTCGTGTCCCCTCCGTGTCCCCGTGTGTGACCCCGCTGTCCCCCTGTGTCCACTCCTTGTCCCCTCTGTGTCCTCCTCGTGTCCCCTCCTTGTCCCCCGTGTGTGACCTCGCTGTCCCTCTGTCTGTCCCTGTCTGTCCCCCCCGTGTGACCCTGCTGTCCCCTATCTGTCCCTCTGTCTGTCCCCCTGTAACCCCCCCTGTCCCCCTGTCTGTCCCCCTCTCACCGCTGTCCCCCTGTCTGTCCCTGTCTGTCCCTGTCTGTCCCCTCTCACCCCATGTCCCCCTGTCTGTGCCCCTCTCACCGCTGTCCCCCTGTCTGTCCCCCTGTCTGTCCCTGTCTGTCCCTGTCTGTCCCTGTCTGTCCCCCTCTCACCGCTGTCCCCCTGTCTGTCCCTGTCTGTCCCTGTCTGTCCCTGTCTGTCCCCCTCTCACCGCTGTCCCCCCTGTCTGTCCCTGTCTGTCCCTGTCTGTCCCCCTCTCACCGCTGTCCCCCTGTCTGTCCCTGTCTGTCCCTGTCTGTCCCCTCTCACCCCCTGTCCCCCTGTCTGTGCCCCTCTCACCGCTGTCCCCCTGTCTGTCCCTGTCTGTCCCTGTCTGTCCCCCTCTCACCGCTGTCCCCCCTGTCTGTCCCTGTCTGTCCCTGTCTGTCCCCTCTCACCGCTGTCCCCCTGTCTGTCCCTGTCTGTCCCTGTCTGTCCCCCTCTCACCGCTGTCCCCCTGTCTGTCCCTGTCTGTCCCTGTCTGTCCCCTCTCACCGCTGTCCCCCCTGTCTGTCCCTGTCTGTCCCTGTCTGTCCCCCCTCTCACCGCTGTCCCCCTGTCTGTCCCTGTCTGTCCCCCTGTCTGTCCCTGTCTGTGCCCCTCTCACCGCTGTCCCCCTGTCTGTCCCTGTCTGTCCCCTCTCACCGCTGTCCCCCTGTCTGTCCCTGTCTGTCCCTGTCTGTCCCCTCTCACCGCTGTCCCCCTGTCTGTCCCTGTCTGTCCCCTCTCACCGCTGTCCCCCCTGTCTGTCCCAGCCGTGCAGGAGCTGCTGTTCTGGCGGGACGTGAGGAAGAGCGCGGCGGCCTTCGGCGCCAGCCTGGTGCTGCTGCTGTCGCTGGCCACGCTCAGCGCGGTGACGGTGGTGGCGCACGTGGCGCTGGCGCTGCTCTCGGTCACCATCAGCCTGCGCGTGTACCGGGCCGTGGTGCAGGCGCTGCAGAAATCCGACGAGGGGCACCCCTTCAGGTGGGGCTGGGGGTGCCCGGGGGGGGTTTGGGGGTCTGGGCACCCCTTCAGGTGGGGCTGGGGGTGCCCGGGGGGGGTTTGGGGGTCTGGGCACCCCTTCAGGTGGGGCTGGGGGTGCCCGGGGGGGGTTTGGGGGTCTGGGCACCCCTTCAGGTGGGGCTGGGGGCCTGGGCACCCCTTCAGGTGGGGCTGGGGGTGCCCGGGGGGGGTTTGGGGGTCTGGGCACCCCTTCAGGTGGGGCTGGGGGCTTGGGCACCCCTTCAGGTGGGGCTGGGGGTGCCCGGGGGGGGTTTGGGGGTCTGGGCACCCCTTCAGGTGGGGCTGGGGGCCTGGGCACCCCTTCAGGTGGGGCTGGGGGCTTGGGCACCCCTTCAGGTGGGGCTGGGGTCCCCAGGGGGGGCTTGGGCACCCCTTCAGGAGGGGGTTTGGGGGTTTGGGCACCCCTTCAGGTGGGGCTGGGGGTCTGGGGTGCCCAGGGGGGGTTTGGGGTCCCTAGGGTGGGTCTGGGGGATTTGGGGATCCCCTGGGCGGGGTTTGGGGATCCCCAGGGTGGGTTTGGGGCAATTGGGGGTGTGGATGGGGATTTTGGGGGTGTGGAGGAGGATTTTGGGGTGCAAACAGGGATTTTGGGGTGTCCTCACCCCAATCTCTGACCCAGACCTGACCCTGTCCCCTGACACCTCCCAGGGCTGGTGGGACAGAGATGGATTTTCACATTCAGACACAAAATTTGGGGTGCAGATGCAGATTTTGGGGTTCAGGGTAGGATTTTGGGGTGCAGATGTGGATTTTGGGGTCCCCCCTTTCCCCAGAGCGTACCTGGACCTGGCGCTGTCCCCTGAGGCGTTCCAGGGCTGGTGGGACAGAGATGGATTATGATGTTCAGTTGCAGATTTTGGAGTGCAGAGGCAGATTTTGGGGTTCAGATGCAGATTTTGGAGTGCAGAGGCAGATTTTGGGGTTCAGATGCAGATTTTGCGGTTCGGGGTGGGCATTTTGGGGTGCAGACACAGATTTTGGGGTTCAGGGCGGGGATTTTGGGGTTCAGATGCAGATTTTGGGGTGCAGATGCAGATTTTGGGGCGCAGATGCAGATTTTGGGGTTCAGGGCAGGATTTTGGGGTGCAGACACAGATTTTGGGGTTCCCCCCTCCCCAGGGCGTACCTGGACGTGGACGTGGCGCTGTCCCCCGAGGCGTTCCAGGCGCACGCGGCCCTGGTGGCCCAGCACGTGACCCGGGGCGCTGCAGCTGCTGCTGCGCCTCTTCCTGGTGGAGGACCTGGTGGATTCCCTGGAGGTTCGGAGCCTTCCTCCCCTTCCCCTTCCTCCTCCTCCTCCTCCTCCCCGACCCCCAAAACCCCCCAGGACCCCCCAAAACCTGTGCTGTGCCCCCCCAGCTCGCCCTGGCCATGTGGTTGATGACCTACGTGGGAGCCGTGTTCAACGGCATCACCCTCCTCATCCTCGGTGAGACCCCCCCCAAAGGTTCGGTTTTGGGGGTGCTGACCCCCCAGAATTGCCACACGGGGGGGGTTCCCCCCAAATAACCCCCCCTGTGCCCCCCTTTTTCCCCAGCCGACATCTTGGCCTTCACCCTCCCGCCCCTGTACGAGAAATATGAGGTGAGCCCACACTGAACCCCCCAAATTAAAGGGGATCCCCCAAAATCATGGGGGGACGCCCCCAAAGTGAAGGGGACACCCCCAGAAATGGGGGGACACCCCTGAAATCCCCATTTTCCCCCCCCAATTCAGGTGCAGATCAATCACTACGTGGAACTCGTCCGCCGTCAGACCAAGGACCTCACGGCCAAGTAGGTGCTCGTGGAACCCCCCAGAAATCCTGGGGATCCCCCCAAAAAATCCTGGGAACCCCCCAAAACTCCTGGGGATCCCCCCAGAAATCCTGGGGATTCCCTAAAAATTCTGGGGAACCCCCTAAAAAATCCTGGGGAACCCCGAAAAAATCCTGGGAACCCCTCAAAAAATCCTGGGGACCTCCCGAATAAAATCCTGGGGACCCCCAATAAAATCCTGGAGATCCCCCTAAAAAATCCTGGGGACCCCCCTAAAAAATCCTGGAGATCCCCCCAAAAAATTCTGGGGACCCCCAAAAATTCCTGGGGAACCCCCAAAAAATCCTGGGGACCCCCAAAAGCCCTGGGGACCCCCTCCCAAAAATCCTGGGGACCCCTCAAAAATCCTGGGGACCCCCCAAAAAACCCTGGGGCCCCCCCAAATGAGCTGTGCCCCCTCTCTCTGTAGGATCCAGGCGAAGCTCCCGGGTCTGGCCAAGAAGAAGCCGGAATAAACCCCAGGGTGGGGGAGGGGGAGTTTGGGGGTGCCCAGCGGTGCCCCCCCCCACTCCAAGCTTGTGCCCCCCCCCCCAAACTCCACCCAAACCCCCCCAAAATTCGTTCCCCTCCCCCCATCTCACAGTGACGTCCGTCTGTGCCCCCCCCACCCCCCCCCAGTTGAAATGGGGGGGGGGCTGAACCCCCAAAATTGCCCCCCCAAACCTCACCCCCCCCCCCAAGCTCGTCCCCCACCCCCCCAGTTTTATTTTTTTAACGTTAATTGAGGTGAAATGTCTGTAACTGCTGTAAATGGGGGGGGGGGCTCAGCCTCGCCCACAGCCCCCCCAAACTGCGCCCCCCGACCCCCCCTCGCTGCTGGGGGGGGGGGAAATGGGGGAGACCCCCCCCCCCCCCCAAAATAATAATCCACTCGTGGGGCTGTGGCTACAATAAAACACCGCGACAACGCCGGGGGCTCTGTGCTGTGACACCCCAAAAATGGCCCCGAGACCCCTCCCAGAAATGCCCCTGGGACCCCCCAAAAATGTCCCTGAGAACCCCCCAAAAGTGTCCCAAAATGTTCCCCGGGACCCCCCCCCCAAAATGCCCCCGGGAACCCCTCAAAATGTCCCTGAGACACCCCAAAAATGTCCCCAAGACACCCCAAAAATGGCCCTGGGACCCCCCCCCCCCCCCAAAATATGTCCCAAAAGGTCCCTGGGAGCCACCCCCCCCCCCCAAAAAATGTCCGGTGGTGTCCCCGGGGGTGGCGCTTTGTCCCCAGCGTCCCCCTGTCCCCGCTCACTTGGGGTGTCCCTGCAGGTGTCCCCCTGTCCCACCCTGTCCCCGCTGTCCCCTCTCACCGTTGGTGTCCCCTCGGTGTCCCCTCACGCTGTCCGGGCGCGTGGCCAGCGCGTGTCCCCCCTAAAAGGGCAGGGTCCTTAAATGAGGAGGGGGTGGCACATCCTCGAGGGACAAGGACATCCCAAATCCCTGGGGGCGTCTCAGAGGGATCCTTGGAGGGGATGGGGACACCTTAAAGGGACAGGGAGGTCCCCAATCGGATGGGGCCGTGTGGGATGGAGGGGACACCCTGAACTCCTGGGGACATTTTGAAGGGGGACACCCTGAATTCTTGGGGACATTTTAAAGGGGGGACACCCTGAACTCCTGGGGACACCCTGAACCCCTGGGGACATTTTAAAGGGGGACACGCTGAATTCTTGGGGACATTTTAAAGGGGGGACACCTTGAACTCCTGGGGACATTTTAAACGGGGACACGCTGAATTCTTGGGGACATTTTAAAGGGGGGACACCCTGAACTCCTGGGGACATTTTAAAGGCATCGGGATAATGTCAAGGGATGGAGCAACCCTCAATAGGATCAGGTCATCTTAAAGGGACAGGACCCCGTTAAAGAGCCCGGGGCCGATGACAGGGGCCGGCAAAGGGCTTGGGACCCCCCCAACAAGGGTCGGGGGGCTTCTTAAAGGGCCAGCGCCGCTCCCATTGTGCACCAAGGGCGGGTCCCACCGCACCCCCGCTCCCTCCCCCCCGTCTCGGTGCTCACCTGGGCTGGCCGGGACCGGGACCGGGACCGGGGGCTCCATGGCGAGGCCCGGGGCGGCGGGCGGGGACCGACCGGGCTGGGGACGCTGCCGTGGGGCCCCTGGGGCTCCTTTAAGGGCTCCGGGGTAAATTTAAAGGGGTCGCTCGCCTTTCCCATCCGCGCCCCTCCCCACTACGGGGGGCTACGGTGGGGGGCGATGAGGGTCCGGCAGGTCTCAGCCCATCCCCACGTCCAGAGGAGCCATTGCGAGGATTTTAATGGGGATCCCCCCATGATGGGGGAGCCCCTGGGTGCTCCCCCCCCCCAATGCACCCCCCCCTCCATCCCCCGCCCCCACCCCCAGCACCGCCCGGGGGTGCCCCGAGCGATGGGGAGCCCATGGAACCCCCTCCCCCATCCTGGCCCCGCCCCTTTGGTCCAGAGGGGGCGTGGCTGGGTGAGAACACGCCCTTCTCTGGTTGGCCACGCCCCCTCCCAGTGCTACCAGTGCAGACAAGGAGCCAAAATCAGGGAGGACCCAGGGGTCCAGCAAAGCCCCCCAAATTGGGGGAGGGTCCAGGTATCCGGAAGAGCCCCCCAAATTCGGGGAGGGTCCTGCGGTCCGGGAGAGCCCCCTCAAATTGGGGGAGGGTCCTGCGGTCCGAGCCGCCCCTCGCCCCATCCTGGGGTCCCCATCAAGGCTGGGGAGGGGGATTCGGCTCCGCTCGGGTGTTTCCGTCACGGGCGGAAGCGCCCGAAGTCTGCCGAGAGGTGTTCGGCTATTTCCGCATCCACTCGGGTGTTTCGGCCTCACTCGGCTATTTCCGGCTCCACTCGGAGTCGCGGCGGCGCGGGCGGCGCTCGGCTCTTCCCGCGGCGCTCGGCGGAAAGTACCGAAGGAAGCTTCATGTAACTCCGTGGCGGAGGCGGAAACGCTCGAAGTCTGTGACGGCCGCCAGCCGAACCTGTCCGGGCAGAGCCGAAGCGGCGCGGGGAGGCGTGTCGGGTGTTTCCGGCGCGGCGGCGGAAATGGCCGAGGGCCGGCGGCGGCCGCCATGTTGGGAGCCGCGGGGCGCTGAGGCGGCGGCGGCGGCGTGAGGAGGCGGCGGCGGCGGCCGGGCCGGGCCGGGCGGACCCCGCCCGCTCCCCCTGCTCCTCTCCCGGCCCCCCAAATGCCGCTGGCCTGGCCCCCCCCCCGCCCCCTGAGCTCCCCCGCTTCCCCTTCCCCCTCCCCGCACACCGCCTGCCGCGGCTTCCCCCTATCGCGATAGTCGCCGGCGGCGCGGGGGGGGGGGCCGCCATGTCGAGCAGCGGTCGCAGCCCTTTGCCGACCGTCAACGAGAGGGACGCGGAACAGGTGAGGGAGGGACGGCGGCGATCGGGTGGGGATGGAGGGGGAGCCGCTCCCAGCGTGAGGGGAGAGGGGCGGCCGAGGGGGAAAAGGGGAATTTTGTAAGGGGAAGAGGCGACTGAGGGATTTTTGTGAGGGGAAAAGGGGGATCTGAGGGAGGAAAAAGGGGCTTGAGGGGATCGTGAGCCGGTTTGTGAGGGGAAAAGGGGAGTTCGGGGTGGGTTTGTGGGGGGAAAAAGGGGCTCTGAGGGGCTCGGGGGCTGATTCGTGAGGGGAAAGGGGGGATCTGAGAGGGTGAAAAGGACGATTGGGGGGTCCTGGTCCCGTCCATGTGGAAAAAATGGGAACTGAGTGGATCTGAGGCGTTTGTGTGAGGGAGAAAGGGTCTTAGAGGGGCCTGAGTAATTTTGTGAGGTAAAAAGGGTGTTTGGAGGGGGACCTGGGCTGGTTTTTGAGGGAAAAAAGGGGAATCCGAGAGGGAAAAGGGGATGAGAGAGCCTGGGGCTGTTCTGTGAGGGGAACCGGGGGTTCCGTGCCCGGTTTGTGACTGCAAAGGGGATCCTGAGCTGCCCTGAGAGCGCTAAAAAGGGTCTGGGGTCTGTTTGTGAGGGGAAAGCGAGGCCCGAAAGGGATTTGAGAGATTTCCTGAGGTAAATAGAGTGTTTGGCAGGAACCTGGGTGGGTTTTTGAGCGAAAAAGGGGATTTGAGAGGGAAAATAAGGGAGTGTAAAGGGGTCTTGGGACATTTTTGGGAGTGGAAAAGGAGATCCTGGGGTGTTTTATGTGGAGAAAGGAGGGGATTTGGGGGGCTCTGGATACTTTTATGAAGGAAAAGAGGGACTGAAGGGGTTTGGGATTGTGTTGTGAGGGAAGAGGGGGCCCTGAAGGGCCTCGGGGCCCCTCTGTGAGGTCCAAAAGGGGGGTCCGAGGGTCCCCCAATTCTTTTTTCCCACCCCCATGAGGGACCCTGGGGTCTCCCAGAGCCTCCAGTGGGGTGGGGGGTCCTGAGAGTGGCCCCCTTCAGAGCTGGATTTTGTATTGGGAGAGTGCTCTGGGCCTCTCATGGAATGATCCCCTTCCCAAATTTTGGGGTCCCCTTTTGGGGTTCCCTTTAGGCCAGCAGGAGGGGTTTGTGTGCACAACCCCAAACTTTGGGGTACTATTTTGGGGTTCCCTGCAGGTCAGCAGTGAGGGTTTGTGTGCACAACCCCAGATTTTGGAGTTCCCTGCAGCAGTGGGGTTTGTGTGCACAACCCCAAATTTAGGGGTCCCATTTTGGGGTTCCCTGCAGCAGTGGGGGTTTGTGTGCACAACCCCAGATTTTGTGTGAGGGGGTCAAGCCTTGCACCCCAAATGTAGAGGGGCAGGCAGGGGGATGCCAGACCCCCCCCCCATTGAACCCCCGGGCTCTGGGATCCGCTGTGGGGTGACAAGTTTGGGGTGCCATTGTGTCCCCCCTAAGCTCCACGGCTGCACGCTCAGGCTGTGGGGGCGTCAGCCCACCCCCTTCCCCTCCCCACCCCCTTCCCTTCCCTGCCGCGCCCCCCCAAACCGGGGGGGGGCTGTGGGGGCGGCGGCAGCGCTGCTTCGGGCTCGGAGCCCTTCCCGGGATTTGGGGGGCTCGGAGGGGTGAACCCCCCCAATTCCTCCTGTTCTGATCTTGGTGAGCAGGGAACGGCCCCCCTCAGGGTGGGGAATGGGGGGCTCAGCCCCCCCCTTGTGTGTCTGGGGGTGTGAGGGGGTTTTCTTTGGGGGGTTCCCCAATTTGGGAGTGGATTTAGGGGGGCTCTGTGGGGTGAACCCCCCAAATTCCTCCTGTTCTGACCCCCGTGAGCGGGGAACAGCCCCATCCAGAGTGGGGAATTTGGGGCTCACCCCCCGTTTTGTGTCTGGGGTGTGAGGGGGTTTCCTTTGGGGGGTTCCCCAATTTGGGGTGAATTTTGGGGGTTTTTGGGGTCCCTCTCTGCCCCCAGCTCCTGTCGTTGCTGGCAGACCCCGCTGCTGGCTCAGCCCTTTTGGGGAGGGCCCGGGGGGCTCCTCAGCCCCCCCGCTGTGTGACACCCCCATTCTGGGGGGCATTTTGGGGAGATTTCCCCCGTTCCGTGACCGTGGAGCCCCCGGAGCCGGGCAGTGACCCCGGCAGGGCGCGTGGGGGCACGGGTGGCCTCGTGTCAGCGTCCCCAAAGCCGGGCCAAGGCGGTGCCACCCGTGCTGTGCCCGCGGCCGTGGCACCGAGCCCCCTCTCCTCGTTCTGGGCGCTTTTCCTTTTATTTCTGCGCCGTTATGTAACGCCAGAGGAAAATTATTCCTGGCTGGGAGATTTGGGGAGGGGGCGGCAGCGCCGCGCGGGGGGGCCGCGCATCCCCCCCGGCCCCGCAGCCGAAATCGGGGGGTCCCTCCCTGCCCCCCAGCAGCCCCCGGCCCTCCCTCACACCGAGCCCGCGCTGCTGGGCTGGGAGATAAAAAAATATCTGCAAAAACGCCTAAATTTGGCTGACATTTGAGCGGCGCCGCACGAACCGGCGCTGGCTGCCGTGCCGAGCCGGGGTCCCGGGGACACCCCAGGGCTGCCCCCAGTGCCACCAGTGGGCACCAGTTTGGGGCTGGGGACACCAGGGACTGCTTCCAGTGCCACCAGTGGGCACCAGTTTGGGGCTGGGGTCCCAGTGACACCTCAGAGCTGCTCCCAGTGCCACCAGTGGGCACCAGTTTGGGGCTGGGGTCCCAGTGACACCTCAGAGCTGCTCCCAGTGCCACCAGTGGGCACCAGTTTGGGGCTGGGGTCCCAGTGACACCTCAGAGCTGCTCCCAGTGCCACCAGCGGGCACCAGTTTGGGGCTGGGGTCCCGGGGACACCTCAGGGACCGCTCCCAGTGCCACCAGTGGGCACCAGTTAATGCTGGCAGCGTGGGTGCCCGGGATCCTCACATCTGGCTGGTGACACCACCATGGTTGTGGTGACATCATGGCAGCCCCAGTGACATCACTGCTGGGCTGGTGACATTGCCACAGCTGTGGTGACATCACTGCAGGCCTGGTGACATCACTGCTGGGCCCGGTGATGTCACTGCAGGCCTGGTGACATCACTGCTGGGCTGGTGACATCATGGCAGCCCTGGTGACATCCCTGCAGCCTCAGCACTGACACTGGTGCCACCATTCCAGTGGCCATTCCAGTGGCCATTCCAGTGGCCATTCCAATGGGAATTTAGTGGCCATTCCAGTGGCCATGTGTCCATCCCAATGCCCACCCCGGTGTCCATCCCGGTGCCCGTTCCCACCCTCCTGGCCCTGTCCCCACCGGCACAGCCCCCCCACCCCTCCCCTGCCCGCTTTCCCGTTCCCGCCCCGTTCCTGTCCCCGCCCCGCCGCTCCAGGTGTTCCCCGGCCCCACCCGCGCTGTCCCGCTGCGGCCTCAGCCCCGACCGGTCGGGCCGGTCCCCGCTCCCTCCCTCCCTCCCTCCGTCCGTCCCTCCCGGCGCTGCGCCGTGCCCAGGGTGAGTCCCCTCGTGGGGCGGGCTGGGGAAACTGAGGCACGAGGGGGCTCCGAGCCGGTACCGAGCAGCGCCGGGAGCACCGCGGCCTCCCCGGTGCCCCGTTCCCGCAGCACGGTGCCTCCTTTGCCGCGTTTGCCGTGGTTTTGGCCGCTCGGCCATCAGAGGAAATACGGGAATGCCCCGGGGGGGTTCGGGGGGTTCTGGTGCCGCGGCCCCGCCCGGGCTCGGGGGGGCTCCGGTGTCGGTGCCGCCTCAGAGGAGCCCGAGCGAATCCCGGCAGCGCGGCCAGATGGCTCCGCACGCTCCCGCCCCGTTGCCACGGCAGTTTTTTGGCAGGAATTCCCGTTTTCCCTTCACTTTTCCCACAGCACCGCGCTGGGCTTTGGGGGGAGGAGGGGAGGCTCCGGTGCGTCCCCCCCACCTCAGCGGGCCCCAAACCGGCGCCTTCTCGCCCCAAATCTCGGGGTTCGGTTGCGCCATCGCCGGCGCCTCCCCCGTGGCTTCCGCCGGCGGTTTCCTTCCCACGGAGGGGGAGCGGGGCTGTGCCCCCACAGGAACCAACCCGGACGGGTTTTGGGGGGCCCCGGGGCGGCGCCGGGCGGGGGGCTCGGCTCGGGCTCCCGCCCGCTCACGCGCTCCCGTTATCTCCGCTGTCACCGGAGCGCTGACAGCCCCGGCCGGGGGCGGCTCGCTCGCCGTCCCCGCCAAGGGAACGGCCCCAAAGCGTCCCCGAGGCCCGGGTGACCTTCGGGGGGCCCCGCGGCGCCTTTCGGGGTGCGGGAAGGGGGGGTTTGTGCCCGATTTGTACCGGGGGCTGCCCCGCTTTGGGCTGGGGGTGAGCTCTGTGCAGGGGTTTGGGTTTGGGGTGAAATCGGGGGCTTTGGGCGCTTCAGGACAGGAGCAGGGCGGGGTGGCCGCGTCCCCTCGCGGGCAGGGGGTGACACGGGTGGCACGGCGCTGTCCCCTCGCCGCCCTGGCGGCCCAGCCCGAAACCGCCGCGCTTGCGTCAGGTGCCGGCAGGTATCGGGGGCGGCTCCCGGCCGGGCCGGGCCGGGCGCGGCTCCGCCGCTCCGGACTTCGCTCCCGGCTCCTCCCGGGGCCCGCCGGGATCCCGCGGCCGGCCCCGGCTGATCGAGCGTCCCCTCGGTGTCCCCTCGGTGTCCCTCGGTGTCCCCGCAGCCCGGCGCCGTGGAGGGCAAGGGCGGCGGCAAGGCCAGCATGCTGCGGGGCCGCAACGCGGGCACGGCCGCCGAGGAGCAGCCCCACATCGGCAACTACCGGCTGCTCAAAACCATCGGCAAGGGCAACTTCGCCAAGGTCAAGCTGGCCCGGCACGTCCTCACCGGCAAGGAGGTGAGTGGGGCCCTGGTCCTGCCCCGGGCACGGCGCTGGGGGTGGCACTGCGGGCACAGGGACGGGGGGGACTGTGGTGACACCGTGTGCGGGGATGGGATCAACATGGGTGACACCGTGTGCGGGGATGGGATCGGCCCGTGGGTGACACTGCAGGGATAGGATCAGCCCCTGGGTGACACCGTGGCACAGGGACAGGCCGTGTCCTGTGGGTGACACCGTGTGTGGGGACAGGATGGGCCCGTGGGTGACACCATGGGGTGGGGATGGAATCAGCCTGTGGGTGACACTGTGGTTCAGGGACAATTTTGGGTCCTTGTCCTTGCCCCAGAAGTGCCACCACAGTGTGGGGACAGTCCCCGCTCTCCAGTGCCACCCTGCTGTGGGCACAGCTTTGTGTCCTGGTCCTTGCCCTGGGAGTGCCACCGTGGCCCAGGGGTGACTTCCTGTCCCCAGCCCTGAGTGCCACCGCGGTGTGGGGACAGCTCTGGGCTCCTGTGGGTGTCACCACGGGGACAGGCCTGCTGTCCCCATCCCATGGGTGTCACCACGGGGACAGGCCTGCTGTCCCCGTCCCATGGGTGTCACCACGGGGACAGGCCTGCTGTCCCCGTCCCATGGGTGTCACCACGGGGACAGGCCTGCTGTCCCCATCCCATGGGTGTCACCACGGGGACAGGCCTGCTGTCCCCATCCCATGGGTGGCACCACGGGGACAGGCCTGCTGTCCCCATCCCATGGGTGGCACCGCAGGGACAGGCCTGCTGTCCCCATCCCATGGGTGGCACCGCGGGGATAGTTCTGCTGTCCCCATCCCATGGGTGGCACCACGGGGACAGGCCTGCTGTCCCCATCCCATGGGTGGCACCGCAGGGACAGGCCTGCTGTCCCCATCCCATGGGTGGCACCGTGCTGTGGGGACAGCTCTGGTCCCTGCCCTGGGAGTGCCACCTGGCACAGGAAGGAGCTTCCTGCTCCTCAGCTGTGACTGTCACCGTGCTGTGGGGACACTTCTGGGTCCTGGTCCTTGTCCCTGTGAGTGCCACCATGGCACAGGGATGGTGCCAAGCTCTCGGTCCTCATCCCATGAGTGCCACCAGGGTGTGGGGACATCCCCGGGGACACTGACCCCGTTCTCCCCCCACAGGTGGCCGTGAAAATCATTGACAAGACGCAGCTCAACTCCTCCAGCCTGCAGAAGGTGAGGTGCTGTCACCCTGGGGAGGGGGTCACAGCCGATTTTGGGGTGACAAATCCGGGATTGTCCCCTCTGACACCCCCAAAATCCCCCCTGTCCCTGTCCCTGTCACAGCTCTTCAGGGAAGTGCGGATCATGAAGGTCCTGAACCATCCCAACATAGGTGAGACCCCCAGACCCCCTCAGATGTATCCCAACCCTTTTGGGGGTGTCCCCCACCCCTTTGGGGGTGTCCCCCACATTTTGGGGGGGGTCCCAGGGGTCTCCAACCCCCCCGACCCCCTTGCAGTGAAGCTCTTTGAGGTGATCGAGACGGAGAAGACGCTGTACCTGGTCATGGAGTACGCCAGCGGGGGTGAGTGGGGGATTTGGGGGGTCCTGGGGGTTTGGGGGGGTCACAGGAATTGGGGGGGAACCTTGGAGTGCCCCTCACCCCCACCCTGTGCCCCCCAGGTGAGGTGTTCCATTACCTGCCGTGGATTTGGGGGATATTTTTGGGGGATATTTGGGATGATATTTTGAGAACGTTTTGGGATATTTTTGGGGGATTTTTTTGGGGTGTCCTGACCCAAGTGTGTCCCCCCTCCGGGTGAGGTGTTCGATTACCTGCCGTGGATTTGGGGATATTTTTGGGGGATATTTTCTGGGAATATTTGGGATGATATTTTGTGAATGTTTTGGGGTTTTTTTGGGGAATATTTGGGATGATATTTTGTGAATGTTTTAGGCTATTTTTGGGGATATTTTGGGATATTTTTGGGGTGTCCTGACCCGGGTTTCCCCCCCCCAGGTGAGGTGTTCGATTACCTGGTGGCCCACGGGCGCATGAAGGAGAAGGAGGCGCGGGCCAAGTTCCGACAGGTCTGGGGGGGGGGGTGAAGCCCTTGGGCACCCCCAAAAGGGTTGGGGACCCCCCCCGGTGTCCCCAATGGGGCTGGGGGTGTCCCTGTGCCTCCCAACCCGGGCTGGGCCCCCCTGACACCCCCCTGTCCTGCAGATAGTGTCGGCCGTGCAGTACTGCCACCAGAAATTCATTGTGCACAGGGACCTCAAGGTGAGCAGCCCCCCCTGGGACCCCAAAACGGCACCCAGACACCCCCGGGACCCCCAAAACGGCACCCTGGGACCCCCGGGACCCCCAAAACGGCACCCTGGGAACCCTGGGACCCCCAAAACGGCACCCAGACACCCCCGGGACCCCCAAAACGGCACCCTGGGACCCCCGGGACCCCCAAAACGGCACCCTGGGAACCCTGGGACCCCCAAAACGGCACCCAGACACCCCCGGGACCCCCAAAACGGCACCCTGGGACCCCCAAAACGGCACCCAGACACCCCCGGGACCCCCAAAACGGCACCCTGGGAACCCTGGGACCCCCAAAACGGCACCCAGACACCCCCGGGACCCCCAAAACGGCACCCTGGGAACCCTGGGACCCCCAAAACGGCACCCAGACACCCCCGGGACCCCCAAAACAGCACTGTGACAGCCCTGGGATCCTCCAGACACCCCCGGGACCCCCAAAACGGCACCCTGGGAACCCTGGGACCCCCAGAATCACACTCAGGCACCCCTGAGCCCCCCAAACCAGCCCCATGTGCACCCCAAACCCCTCCAGACCCCAATGACCCCTCCTGGGCTGCTCTCCCTGCCCGGGCCAGGCTGAGAACCAACACCCGGATCCCGTCCCAGTGTCCCCATTCCTGTGACAATGTCCCCATTGATGTCCCACTATCCCTGTCCCTGATGATGTCCCCAATGTCCCCAAATGTCCCCAGGCCGAGAACCTGCTGCTGGACGCCGACATGAACATCAAGATCGCGGATTTCGGCTTCAGCAACGAGTTCACGTTCGGGAACAAGCTGGACACGTTCTGCGGCTCGCCGCCCTACGCCGCCCCCGAGCTCTTCCAGGGCAAGAAGTACGACGGGCCCGAGGTGGACGTGTGGAGCCTGGGGGTCATCCTGTACACGCTGGTCAGCGGCTCGCTGCCCTTCGACGGCCAGAACCTCAAGGTGGGCACTCGCTTTGGGGTCACCGTGGGGATTTTGGGGTCACCATGGGTGGTTTGAGGTCACTGTGGGTGATTTTGGGGTCTCCGTGATGGTTTGGTGGTGACCATGGGTGGGTTTGGGGTCACTGTGAGTGGTTTGTGAGTTGCCACGGGTGGTTTTGGGGTCACCATGGGTAGTTTAGGATCCCTCTTGGTGGTTTTGGGGTGCCCATGGGTGGTTTGGTGGCCCAGCAGGTGTTTCAGGGTCCTGTGGGTGGCTTTAGAGTGGTCACAAGTGATTTTTGAGGTGTCTTCAGTGGTTCTGGGGAGCCCACGGGTGACTTTGAGGCTCTCAGGTGGTTTCGGGGGTCTCGGGTGTTTTTGGGGTCCCCACGGTGTTTTCGGGGTTCCCATGGGTGGTTTTGGGGTCCCCACGGTGTCTTTGGGATGTTTTTGGGGTGCCCACGGTGCGTGTGCCCCCAGGAGCTGCGGGAGCGCGTGCTGCGGGGCAAGTACCGCATCCCCTTCTACATGTCCACGGACTGCGAGAACCTGCTCAAGAAATTCCTGATCCTCAACCCCACCAAGAGGGGCACCCTGGAGGTGAGGGGACCCCAGCTTCAGCCTGGGACCTTCTGGGGGCCCCCAAATTCTTCCTGGGACCCCCAGCTTCATCCTGGACCCCCCAGCTTCAGCCTGGGACCTTCTGGGCACCCCCAACGTCATCCTGGGACCCCCAATGGCACCCCAGGACCTTCTGGGGACCCCCAAGTTCATTCTGGGACCCCCAGCGTGGTTCTGAGAATCTCAGAGCCCCCCTCAATCACCCCAAACCCCCCTGGGGATCCTGCAGCGTCCCCAAAGTGTCCCCAGAGGTGACGTGTCCCCCGTGTCCCCAGCAAATCATGAAGGACCGCTGGATGAACGTGGGCCACGAGGACGACGAGCTGAAGCCCTACATGGAGCCCGTGCCTGACTACAAGGACCCCCGCAGGACAGGTGGGACCCCCGGGCAGCCCTGGGGACACGGGGACACCCCGGTGTCCCCGTCACCCCCCCTGAGGGCGCCGTCACCCCCCAGAGCTGATGGTGTCCATGGGCTACACGCGGGAGGAGATCCAGGAGTCGCTGGTGGGGCAGAAGTACAACGAGGTGATGGCCACGTACCTGCTGCTGGACCACAAGAGCTCCGAGGTGGGGACACTGGGGACACTCTGGGGACATTGGGGGACACTGGGGACACATTGGGGAAACTGGGGCATGGCAGGGACACCAGGGAATGGCAGGAGTACAACGAGGTGATGGCCACGTACCTGCGGCTGGACCACAAGAGCTCCGACGTGGGGACATTGGGGACACTGGGGGGTGGCAGGGACACTGGGGACGCTGTGGGGTCAGCAGGGACACTGGGGGGACATGGGAAGAGTGACAAGGACACATAATGGTGCGGGGTCACTGAGATGTGAGGGGATGTGGGGACGCTGAGGTGACACGGGCAGGGACAGGTGACAAGGGGATACTGGAGGTCATTGGGATGAAGAGGGGACACGGTGACAAGGACACATTGTGATCGTGCAGCATCACTGAGATGTGAGGGGACACGGGGACACCGAGGTGACACGGGGACACGGGCAGGGACATGGGGACACTGAGAGGATGGGGGGGACACAGGGGACACCGTTCCCTGTCATGCCCTGTCCCCATGCTGTCCCCAGCTGTGCCATGGTGGCACATCCCTGTCCCCATCCCTGCCTGGCGGGTGTCCCCTGTGTCCCCGTACATGTCCCCATGTCCCCAGCTGGAGGACAGCCTGTCCCTCAAGGCCCCCGTGTCCCTGTGTCCCCATACATGTCCCCAATGTCCCCAATGTCCCCAGCTGGAGGACAGCCTGGCCCTCAAGCCCCCCGTGTCCCTGTGTCCCCATACATGTTCCCAATGTCCCCATACATGTCCCCAGTGTCCCCAATGTCCCCAGCTGGAGGACAGCCTGTCTCTCAAGCCCCACATGTCCCCAATGTCCCCATGTGTCCCCAGTGTCCCCAGCTGGAGGACAGCCTGTCTCTCAAGCCCCACATGTCCCCAATGTCCCCAATGTCCCCAGCTGGAGGACAGCCTGTCTCTCAAGCCCCACATGTCCCCAATGTCCCCAATGTCCCCAGCTGGAGGACAGCCTGTCTCTCAAGCCCCGCGTGGCCCCGGAGGTCGCCAACAGCTCGGGCCCCTCCCCCGCGCACAAGGTGCAGCGCAGCGTGTCAGCGAACCCCAAACGGAGAGTGAGCGACCAGGGTGAGACCCCAGACCCAAAATAGGGGACAGGGACCCCAAAATGGGGACAGGAACCCCAAACGGAGAGTGAGCGACCAGGGTGAGACCCCAGACCCAAAATAGGGGACAGGGACCCCAAAATGGGGACAGGGACCCCAAACGGAGAGTGAGCGACCAGGGTGAGACCCCAGACCCAAAATAGGGGACAGGGACCCCAAAATGGGGACAGGGACCCCAGACGGAGAGTGAGCGACCAGGGTGAGACCCCAGACCCAAATGGGGACACGGGGGGTCAGCGACCAGGGTGAGACCTCCAAGAGTGAAACCCCAAATGGGACTGGGGCTGTGGGTGGTGCCTCCCTCAGAGCCCTCACGGGGCGGTTTTAGGGTCACTTTTGGGGCGGTTTTGGGGTTGGTTTTGGGGCAGTTTTGGGGGTGGTGTGGGGGCAGTTTTGGGGTGGTTTTGGGTCCATTTTGGGGGCGGTTTGGGGGTGGTTTTGGGAGCGGTTTTAGGGTCATTTTTGGGGCTGTTTTGGGGCCGGTTTTGGGGTTGGTTTTGGGGCAGTTTGGGGATCGTTTTGGGTCCATTTTGGGGGTGATTTTGGGGCCGGGTTTCGGGGGTGGTTTTGGGTCCATTTTGGGGGTGATTTTGGGGCCGGGTTTCGGGGGTGGTTTTGGGTCCATTTTGGGGGTGATTTTGGGGCCGGGTTTCGGGGCCGTTCCGTGTGACCCGCCCCCCCAGTGATCAGCGGGCGAAGGGGATGGGGTCTCCCCCTGGGACCCCCACCCTGACCGCCCCTCCCTCCGCCCCAGCCGGGCTCTCCATCCCCACCTCGGCCTCGTACTCGAAGAAAACGCAGGCGGCCAACGCCGAGAACAAGCGGGGAGGAGGAGGAGGAGGAGCGGGAGGAGGAGGAGGAGGAGCCGGGGAGGAAGAGGGCGGCGGGGGCGGGGGGCGCCGCGCCGGCAGCACGGCCAAGGTGCCCCCGAGCCCCCTGCCCGGCCTGGAGCGCTCCAAGGGCACCCCCTCCCCATCCACGGTCAGTGCCCAATGGGAGGTGGGCGGGGGGACCCCAAAACCTGGGACCCCCCCATGGATTTGGGGAGGGGGGCACCAACACCTGGAATCCCCCTGGATTTGGGGAGGGGGTCCCCAACATCTAAAACCCCTGGATTTGGGAAAATTTTGGTGCCGAGGGGGGTTCCCAACATCTGGAACCCCTGGATTTGGGGGAATTTGGGTGGGAGGGGGGTCCCCAACACTTAGACCCCCTGGATTTGGGGAGGGGGGTCCCCAACACCTGACCCCCCCCACATTAGGGGTCAGCACCTGCCGGGCTGGGGATGGGGGGTGTCCATCCCTGGGTCCCCCGGGGTGGGTCTGGGGTCTCTGGGTGCCCCGTGCAGGCTCCCCCGGTCCCGTGGGTGCTGTTTGGGGGTCGGGGACCCCCGTGCCCCCCCCAGCCCCCCCATTTCCGCGTCCCCCCCCACAGAACAGCGTCCTGTCCACGGGCACCGCGCGCAGCCGCAACTCGCCCCTGCCGGAGCGCGCCAGCCTGGGCCAGAGCTCGCTGCAGAACGGCAAGGACAGGTGGGGACCCCTCCCCAGGGACCCCCCGGCCTGCCCCCAACACGGGGGGGGGGTCCCGGGGGGAACGGGGCGGAGATGGCGGGTGGGCGACGCCCCCCAGCCCCACATTGCTGCGTTCAGTGGGGGCCGGGGGGGCTCTGAGGGGGCCCCCGGGGGCAGCAACGTCCCCCATTTAGGGTCTGGGGGTGCCCCTGGGCGTCGGGGGGGTCTCAGGGCTGTCCCAGGGTGTCGGGGTCTCAGGGGTGCCCCTAACTCGGTGTCTGTCCCCCCGCAGCGCCGCCCCCCCCCGGGTCCCGGCCGCCTCCCCCTCGGCGCACAACGTCAGCCAGGGCGGGGGTCCCGCGGAGCGGCCCAGCTTCCCGCGGGGGGTCTCGAGCCGCAGCACGTTCCACGCGGGGCAGCTGCGAGCGCCCCGGGACCCCCGGGACCCCCGGGACCCCCTGCCCTACGCGCTGCCCCCCGGGCTGCCCCCGCCCGCCTCGCCCTCGGGCGCCAGCCAGGGCCGGCGCGGGCCCTCGGCCAGCCTGTTCAGCAAGTTCACCTCCAAGTTCGTGCGCAGGTGAGCTCGCCCGGGTGCCACCTGGGGCACCTGTGTCGCCTGTGCGTGCCCCGGGCTCTCGGTGCCCCCTTGGTGTCCCCTCCCGTGTCCCTCCCGGTGTGTTCTGGGCTCTCGCTGTCCCCTCCTGTGTCCCCCGGTGCTCTCACTGCCCCTCAGTGTCACCTGCGTGTCCCCTGGTGTTTTCTGGGCTCCCGCTGTCCCCTTGGTGTCACCTCCTGTGTCCCCTGTTGTGTTCCCCTGGGCTCTCAGTGTCCCCTCGGTGTCCCCTGGCTGTGCCCTTTGTGGTTTGTTCCCCTCGGTGTGTCCTGGGCTCGGTGTCCCCCCCTCGGTGTCACCTCCAGGGCTTCTCTGTCCCCTCTCAGGGCTCCTCGGTGTCCCCCAGGTCCCTTCTGTGTTTCGGTGTCCCCTCCCTCAGGTGTCCCCTCCCTCAGGTGTCCCCTCGGTGCTCTCAGGGCTTCTCTGTTCTTCTCCTCCCTCTGTGTCCCCTCCTGTCCCTCACGCTGTCCCCTCGGGGACCCCCCATGTCCCTTCCTGTCCCCTGAACTGGGGACGCCCCATGTCCCCCCACCGTGTCCCCTCCTGTCCCTGAATGTCCCATTGGGAACCCCCCCATGTCCCCCCCTGTCCCTCTGTCCCCACAGACCCTTTGGGGCTGTTGGTGCTGCTTTCCCCCCCCGTCCCCTCCTGTCCCACTGGGGACCCCCCATATCCCTGAATGTCCCTTTGGGGACACCCCAAGTCCCTGCTGTGTCCCCTTTGGGACCCCCGTGTCCCCCCACGTCCCCTTTGGGACCCCCCCACGGTCCCTCTGTCCCCACAGACCCTGGGTTGGGGGTGTTGGTGCTGTTTCCCCCCCTGTCCCCCCTCGTCCCCTCTGGGGGGTTTGGGGGGGGTCTCGGGGGGGGAGGGGGTGGCTCTGTCCCCGCCCCCTCCCCTCCCCCCCCCAACGCCCCCTTCTCTTCTGTTTGTCTTTGTAGAAATCTGTCTTTCAGGTTTGCCAGAAGGTAGGGCCGCGCCGGACCCCGCATGGCACCCCAAAAACACCCAGAGACCCCTAAACACCCCCAGGGCACCCCAAAACCCCCCAGAGCGCCCCTTAAAACCCCCACAGAGACCCCCAAAAACACCCCAGAGACCCCCAAAACCCCCCAGAGACCCCCAAAAACACCCCAAAACCACCCCAAAAACCCCCCCAGAGCCCCCCAAAACCCCCTGGACCCCCCCAAACCAGCCCCCGGCCCCTCCCCAGAGCTGCACGGCCCCGCATGGCGCCCCCTCTCCCCGCTTGTCCGTCCGTCCGTCTGTCCGTGTGTCCCCCCCGCGTGTCCGTGTGTCCCCCCCGCCCCTCCCCCCCCCAGTGCTGTCTGTGCCCCCCCGGGGGTGGGGGAGGGGATGGGGGAGGGGCTGTGCCCCCCCAGCCCCCCCCGGCTGAGCTGGGCCCCCCCTTTTGTCTCCCGAGGAACCCCCACGAGCCCGAGAGCAAGGAGAGGGTGGAGACCCTCAGGTGAGCGGGGACACCTGGGGACATCTGGGGACACCTGGGGACACTTTGGGGACACCCTGGGGATATCCTGGGGACACCTGGGGACACCCTGGGGATATCCTGGGGACATCTGGGGACACCCTGGGGACACCCTGGGGACACCCTGGGGACATCCTGGGGACACCTGGGGACACCTGGGGACACCTGGGGACATCCTGGGGACACCTGGGGACACCTGGGGACATCTGGGGACACCCTGGGGACACCCTGGGGACATCCTGGGGACACCTGGGGACACCTGGGGACATCTGGGGACACCCTGGGGACACTTTGGGGACACTTTGGGGACACCTGGGGATATCCTGGGGACACTTTGGGGACACCTGGGGGACACCTGAGGATATCCTGGGGACACCCTGGGGACATTTTGGGGACACCTGGGGACACCCGGGGATATCCTGGGGACACCTGGGGACACTTTGGGGACACCTGGGGGACACCTGGGGACACCCGGGGACACCCTGGGGACACCTGGGGACACCTTGGAGACACCTGGGGACACCCTGGGGACACCCTGGGGACATCTTGGCTTGGGACACCCTGGGGTCTTTGTGACACTGCTGGGGGCACCTTGGGGACATCCCAGGATCCCTGTGCCACCTTGAGGACACCCCTGGAACACCTCGGGGACACCCTGGGGACACCTGCGGACACCCTTGGGGACACATGGGGACATCTCGGGGACACCCTGGATGCCCTTAACCCCCCATTTCCCCCCAGACCCGCGGTGGGCCCCGACAAGGACCCCCGCGACGCCGGGCGCGACGCCAAGCCGCGCTCGCTGCGCTTCACGTGGAGCATGAAGACCACGAGCTCGCTGGAGCCCGGGGAGATGCTGCGCGAGATCCGCAAGGTGCTGGACGCCAACAGCTGCCGCTGCGAGCCCCAGGAGCGCTTCGTGCTGCTGTGCGCCCACGGCGCGCCCGGGCACGACTCCTTCGTGCAGTGGGAGATGGAGGTGTGCAAGCTGCCCCGGCTCTCGCTCAACGGCGTCCGCTTCAAGCGCATCGCCGGCACCTCCATGGCCTTCAAGAACATCGCCTCCAAGGTGGCCAACGAGCTCAAGCTCTGAGCCACGGCGGGGACGGCTGGGGCGGCCACGGAGCTCCGGGGACGCGGACGCGGACGCGGTGACCCGGCAGCGCCTCCAAGGTGGCCAACGAGCTCGAGCTGTGAGCCACACACGAGCGCTGGGGACGTGGGGTGGCCACGGAGCTCCGGGGACACGGACACCCAGGAGTGCCTCCAAGGTGGCCACGGAGCTCCGGGGACGCGGACACGGACGCGGTGACCCGGGAGTGCCCGCAAGGTGGCCAACGAGCTTGAGCTCTGAGCCACGGATGGGACGGTGGGGGTCACCTGTGGACGGCGCCGGGGTGGCCACGGAGCTCTGGGGACATGGATACGGTGACCCAGGAGCAGCTCTGAGGTGGCCTCCAAGTTGCAGTTCCTGAGGACGTGGTGACCCAGGAGCGGCTCCTCAGCTGTGGCTCTTGGGGACAGGGACACGGCACCCCAGGAGTGGCTCTGAGATGGCCACAGGGCCACGGACACGGTGGGGACACCCAGGGGGGACACGGGAGCACCAGGATGGACCTGGGGGCTCCTGGATGGACCTCGAGCCTGTCCAGGCCTTGGTGGGCACGTCCTGGATGGAGCCAGGAGCTCCTGGGGTGGACCTGGAGCCCCTGCATGGACCTGGGATGGACCCCGGAGCCCTGGATGGACCCAGGAACCCCTGGATGGATTTTCTGTGGGGTCCAGGAACGTCCTGGATGGACCTGGGATGGACCCGGGAACCCTGGATGGACCCAGGAGCCCTGGATGGATTTTCTGTGGGGTCCAGGAACGTCCTGGATGGACCTGGGATGTCCTGGACGGACCTGGGACCTCCAGACGGATCTGGGGGAACTCGGGGCTGAACCTGGGACCGCCCGGGGTCACCTGGCTGGACCTTGTGGGGGTCCAGGTGACCATGGGGACACCTGGATGGAGCCGGGGCCATCCCGTGGCATCATGGGGACATCCTGGATGGGCCTTGGGGACAGGGCCGGGGTTTCATTCATGGGGACGTCCTGGGACCCCTTGGGGACATCCTGGTGGCACCTTCTGGGGAGGCTCATTGGGGACAGGAGAGGTGGCCCAAGGTGGCCCAGGGCCCTTCTGAGGGGTCCTGGGGGACATCCCGGGTGGCTTTGGGGACATCGTGGGTGGCTCAGGAGCACCTGGGGTGGCCCAGGGCCGTGTGGGGACATCCCGGGTCACCCTGAGCCTTACGGGGGGACACGGGGACAGTCCGGGGGTGGCCTTAGGGGGGGTGGGGGTGTCCCCTCCCCCCTGGCGGTGTCCCCTGCCCCTCCCCCCCCTTGAGGACAGAGCTGTCCTTGCCCCTCCCCCCAGGGCTGCCCCTCCCCCCGCACTCAGGAAGGGCCCGGTGGGGGTGGGGGAGGGGCGGGGCTGGGGCCTCCCTTCCCCTCCCCCCATTTCTGTCCTGCTGTAGCCCCGCCCCGGGCACCGCCCCTGGGGGCGGGGGCACTCCGGGGGGAGGGGCCGAGCCCAGGCCACGCCCCCTCTGCGTTGGATTTTCCAGGTTCTGATTAAAAACTTTCCAGAAAGATCCGCGGGCTCTGAGTGGTGCTGGGGGGGCGGGCCCGGTGCAAACCAGTGATCCCAGTATGGAACAGGGATCCCAGTACGGACCAGCGTTCCCAGTACGGAACAGGGATCCCAGTACGGAACAGGGATCCCAGTACGGACCAGGGTTCCCAGTACGGAACAGGGATCCCAGTACGGAACAGGGATCCCAGTACGGACCAGCGTTCCCAGTACGGAACAGGGATCCCAGTACGGACCAGCGTTCCCAGTACGGAACAGGGATCCCAGTACGGAACAGGGATCCCAGTACGGACCAGGGTTCCCAGTACGGAACAGGGATCCCAGTACGGAACAGGGATCCCAGTACAGACCAGTCCCTCCCAGCACTCCCAGTGCCGCAGCACTCTGAGCCTCTGTACTAAAATACCTTTATTGCAAACTGGGACCCCCCCCCCCCAGGACCCCCCGGGACCCCCCCCCGGTTCCTCCGGCCCAGCAGGGGGCGCTCAGCGGGGCGGGGCGTGGCCGGCAGCCGGGGGGCGGGGCCTGGCGGCGGGGGCGTGGCCAGGGCGGAGCAGCGGGGGCGGGGCCCGGCCGGGCTGGAGGGGGGGGGGCGGCCGCGGGAGCGCGGGGGGCGGGGCCGGGGGCGGGGCCGGGCGCAGCAGAGGGGGCGGGGCCGGCGGGCGCGAGGGGAGCGGGGCCGCGGCGCCGGGAGGCGGGGCCGAGGAGGGCGGCGGGGGCGGGGCCGGGCGGGAAACGCCGGTGATCTGCACCTGTGGAGAGAAAGGCGGGGCTGTGTGGGTGGGGCTGGAATTGGGTGGGGCTGGGTGGGCGGGGCAAGGATTGGGTGGGGCTGGAATGGGTGGGGCAGGGATTGGATGGGGCTGGGTGGGGTTGTGGTGTGGTTGAGGCATGGCCATTAATTGATTGGGGTGGATTGATTGATTGATTGATTGATTGGGGCAGGGTCACTGTACCAGGGCCCGCCTCTGATGCGGATCTGCCCCAGTCCAGGCTCAGAACCGGGACCAGTCCGAGCCCCACCCAGCACTGGGAGCAGGGACAGGGTAGGGACTGGGCCTAGTTCCCATCTCAGACCCCCCCCATCCCCATCCCCATCCCCATCCCCATCCTTCCCCCCCCGGCCCTTCCTCACCTCCTCCTCCTCCTCTCCAGGGGGCTCCCCCCGGCCCCGGCCCCGCTGCAGGAGCCGCTCCAGCCCCGGGCGCCGCCGCGGGCCCAGCACGAAGCTCCGAACCTGCGCCGGCGTCTTGTTCCCCAGCACGGCCGCCACCGCCGGGAAATCGCGGCCGTAACGGCGCAGGGCTGGGAGGGACGGACGGACGGACACACCGTGAGGGACACACGGACACACAGTGAGGGACGGACGGACGGACAGTGAGGGACACACGGACAGTGAGGGACACACGGACAGTGGGGGACAGACACATGGACAGTGAGGGACGGACAGACAGACAGTGAGGGACACATGGACAGCAAGGGATGGACACATGGACACACAGCAAGGGACGGACACACGGACAGTGAGGGACGGACAGACGGACAGCGAGGGACAGACAGGCAGCTAACGAGGCTAATTAGCCTAACGAGGGCAGCACTCACCCTGCACCACCAGCAGCTGCTCGTCCGTGGTCCAGCGCGAGCTGAATTTGCTGTTGCCCTGGGGGGGGGAGGGGATTTGGGGGGATTGGAGGGGACACAGCCGGGAGCCGCTGTGACACCGCGGGGACACTGAGGGGACACTGTGGGGACACAACTGGGAACAGCTGTGACACCATGGGGACACCGGGGGGCTCACAGGGGACACCGTGGTGACACCGTGGGGACACCGGGGGGCTCACAGGACCCACCTCAGGCGGCCGCAGCCCCTCCAGGCCCCCGTCCAGCGCCTGCCTGAGGCCACTGTTGATCTGCTTGATGCGCTGAACCTGCGGGGATGGATCGGGGATTGACTGGGGATGGATCAGGGATTGATCCGGGATTGGGAGGGGATTGACTGGGGATGGATCGGGATTGGGCAGGGGTCCCCAGGGTGGTTTTGGGGTGGGTTTGGGGTGTCCCGGGGATGGATCAGGGACTGGGGAGGGGGCTCAGAGGAGGATTTTGGGGTGCCCCACCCTCACCTGCCGTTTGAGCGCCACCAGCTGGCAGTCGAGCTGCCGCAGGGCCCGCGCGCCCAGGTCGGGGTTCGCCGTCACCTCGGCCACGTCCTCGCGGCTGAGGCGCATCCCGCGGGGGGGGCGGCGCCGCTGCCGCGCCGGGGGGTGGTGCCGGTACTGCGGCTCCTTGCGCGGGCCCGCCCTGGCCGGGCATGGCTAAAGAGGCATTAATTAGGCACGTTCGTTAATTAGCTCAGGGGATTGAATCGGTTATGGCTGGGGAAACCCCCTGAGAATTCACCTCTCCCCCCCCCCCCCCCCCCAACTGGAACTTGGTACGTTCCGGCCCGGCCGCTGCTCTCCCCCACCCCCCCAGCAGGGGGCGCCACCTCTGCCCCATTTTTGGGGGCTTTCCCAATTTTTGGGGGTTTTCCCCCAATTTTTGGGGTCTCCAGACCCACCCTCAGCTCCCTCTCGTTGTTTTTAGGGGTTCTCCCCATTTCCAAAGATTCCCCCGAATTTTGGGGGTCACACACCATCTTTAGTTTCTCCTCCCTGCTTATCTTCAGGGATTCACCCCCATTTTGGGGGGGTCTGGCCCCATTATGAGGGGGTTCCCTCTTTTCCTCACCCCACCCTTGAAACCCACCCCCCAAATTTCACCCTGTGATCGCCCCGAGCCCCCCAAACCCCCCCTGCGCCCCCCAAACCCCCCCTGAGCCCCCCAAATCCCCCGTGAGCCCCGCAACCTCTTTTTTGGGGTCCGCGGGCTCCGGGTCCCCCTCGGGGCTCGGTCGGGGCTCCTCGGTCTCGTCATTGCTGGGGGGGCAGGGGGGAGAGGGGGTTTGGGGTTTTGGGGAGGAATTTTGGGGATTTGGGGAGGTTTTAGGGAGGTTTTTGGGGGTTCAGGGTGGGATTTTGGGGGTTTGGGGGAGGTTTCTGGGGAGGTTTTGGGGAGGTTTTGGGGAGGTTCAGGGTGGGATTTTGGGAGGTTCAGGGCAGGATTTTAGGAAAGTTTTTTATGGTTCAGGGTGGATTTTGGAGAGGTTTTTTGGAGGTTCAGGGTGGGACTTTGAGGAGGTTTTTGGGGAGGTTTTAGGGAAGTTTTAGGAACGTGTTTGTGGAGTTTTAGAAAGGTTTTGTGGAGGTTTTTGGGGAGGTTTTAGGGAAGTTTTAGGAAGGTTTTTGGGGTGGATTTTGGAAAGTTTTAGGGGAGATTTTGGGAGGCTTTTGGGTAGGTTTTAGGAAGGTTTTTAGGTAAGTTTTGAGGAGGTTTTAAGGAAGTTTTAGGAAGGTTTTTGGGGATGTTCAGGGTGAATTTTGGGGAGGTTTTAAGAAGGTTTTTGGAGAGGTTTTGGGGAGGTTCAGGATGGGATTTTTAGGGAGGTTCCAGAAGGTTTGTGGGTATGTTTTGGGGTCCCAGGACGGGTCTGGGGTCCCGGACCTGTCGTCGCGGTCGCGCCGCCCCAGCAGCCGCCGCGCCTGCCGGTCCATGACGCTGGTGCGCGCGCGCGTCTTCTTCCAGGAGTAATAGTACTTGACCAGGCTGGGGATCAGCTTGTCGGGGAGCTGGGGGCACACCGGGGGTTGGGGGGACTCAGGGGGGTTTTGGGGTCCCTGTGCCCCTCACCATCTGCTGGATGCGGGCGAAGCTCTTGCCGTGGCATCTCTGCTCCCCATTGCCCCCAGCCCAGGGGTTTTTGGGGTCCCTTTGGGGTTTTTGGGGTCCCTTTGGGGTTTTGGGGTCCCTTTGGGGTTTTTGGGGTCCCTTTGGGGTCCCTGTGTCCCTCACCATCTGCTGGATGCGGGCGAAGCTCTTGCCGTGGCAGCTGAAGGCCTGCTCGAACAGCACCTTGTCCTCCACCGTCCACTCGTCCGGGAACGGGGTGAAGTTGGCCAGGTCAGCCAGGGACTTCTCCACGTCGTGCTTGTGCCACAGCAGCATGCCCAGCGCCTGCCAGCGGTGCCAGGGGGTTTGGGGCGTCAGGGGGGGAGTTAGGGGGTCAGGAGGGATTTGGGGGGGTCAGCAGGGATTTGGGGGGGTCAGCAGGGGATTTGGGGGGTTGGGGGCTCGGGTACCTGCTCGATGTTGTAGCCGTGCTTGTCCTTGGCCATGGCGATGTACCTGTCCACTGAGGGGGGGCGTTTGGGGGTCAGGGGGGTTTGGGGGGGTTAGGGGGAATAAGAGAGGGTTTGGGGGGGTTTAGGGACAGGGAGAGGGGTTTGGGGGGGTTGGGGGAGTTTTGGGGGGGTTTAGGAGAGTGAAGGAAGAGTTAAGGGGGTAAAGGAGGGGTTAGGGTGTATCAGGATGGGTTTGGGGATACCAGGGGGGTGTTGGGGGGGTACCAGGGGGTTTGGGGTGTATCAGGATGGGTTTGGGGGGTACCAGGACAGGTTGGGGGGTACCAGGATGGGTTTGGGGGGGTACCAGGAGGGGTTGAGGGGTACCAGGGGATGGGATCGCCCCCCGATCCCACCCCCCCCCACAGGGGCACCCCGGGGTGGGTCGGGGGTCTCACGTTTGGCGTCAGACACGCAGTGGTTGGGGGCCCACACCAGCATCCCCTTGAGCTCCTTGTTGCTGTAGCGAGCGGGGCTCTCTGGGGAGGGGGCACAACGGGGGGGTCTCAGGGCGTGGGGGGGACACCCCCAGACCCCCCCTGAGCCCCCCTGACCCCTCCCCAAATCTCCATACCTGGTTTGCAGTCGGGAATCACCGCCTGGTAATCGGCGCCCACGCGGATCATGCTGTCTGTGGGGTCACCGGGGGTCACCGGGGGGGCCGCACCGACCCCTCCTCACCCCCGGGGGGGCTGCGGGGGTCGCGGCCGAGCCCCCTCCCCAGCGCCACAGAACAAAGCTGTGGCCGCGCACACGCGGGCGCCCGGGGACAATGGGGACGGGGCTTTGTTCCCCCCCGCAGTGTCCCCGTGTGTGCCCCCCACCCATCCCAACCCCGGGGGGCGCCGGCGGTGCTGCCCCCTCCCCAAATTAACACCGCACATCCCTGGGGGGGTTACTGGGGTGGGGGTGTCCTGGGGGTGGGGGGCTCGCAGGTTTAGCATAATTTAATTTTATTTTATTTTATTTTTGGGGGGGGGGTCACTCACCGTGGGCCGGGCTCGTCCTCGCTGGCCTCGTCCTCGGAGTGGGGGGGGTCCCGGTGCGCCCCCCCCCCGCCTTGGCGCGGCTGCGGGACAGGATCCCCGAGGGCTTCTCCATCACCGCCGGCATCGCCCGGAGCCCCCCGAGCCCCCCGGGGGTCCCGCACGGGGAGGGGGCTCAGCCCCGGTGTCCCCCCCTCACCAAACTGCCTCGACCCGAGCGCGGGGATCTGGGGAGGGGGCGTGGGAATGGGGCGGGGGGAGGAGGATGCGGGGCGGACCCGAGGGTCCCTCCCCCGGTAGGAGCGGGGCAGAACCGGGGGGGGTTCCCGGGAAGGGGTCCCGGTGCTGGGGGGGGGTCCTGCCGGGGGTCCCGAGCCCGCACAAAGCGCCCGCGGCCGCTGCCGCCGCCTCCCGGTGCTAAAGTAGTTCCAGCTCCGCGGCCTCAGCACGGCCCCGCCGCCCCCCGTACCCCTCCGCGGGCCGCGGGGAACCGGGAGGGAACGGGGGGACCGGGGGGAATAAAGGGGATGGGGGAGGTCGGGGGGATTGGGGGGACCGGGAGGGAATGGGGAGACCAGGGGGACCGGGGGGAATCGGGGGGACCGGGGGGGAACTGGGGGGATCGGAAGGGATCGGGGGGGATCGGAAGGGACCGGGAGGGAATGGGGGGACCGGCGGACCGAGGGGCTGCGGTCTATCCTCATGTAGGGTTGGGGTCTGTCCCTCTTTGGGGCTGTCCCCGTGTGGATGTGGGGTCTGTCCCCACATAGATCTGGGGTCTGTTCTCATGTGGGTCTGGGGTCTGTCCCTGTGTGGGGCTGGGGTCTGTCCCCCCTGTGAGTCTGTCCCTCTGTGGGTCTGGGGTCTGTCCCCACATAGATCTGGGCTCTGTCCCTGTATGGGGCTGTCTCCACACAAATCTGGGGTCTGTCCCCATGTGGGTCTGGGGGCGCATGGGGATCCCCACCTCCATCCCACTCTGTGGGGCTGCGCCACATCCCCCATCTCCCCCTTTCCCTCTGGGGGGTGCCCCACTGGGTCCTGTGGGGTGACCCCATTGCGGGAGGTTTGGGGCTGGATCAGAGCTGTGGGGCCGGGATGTGGGGCTGGCTGTGGGGTGGGCTGAGGGCTATGGGGCTGGCGTGTGTGGCAAAATGGAGTCTGCGCGTCCATACTGAGAGCTGTGGGGCTGTGCCAAACTCTGTGGGGCCAGTTTGGCTCTGTGGGGCCGGTTTAGGGCCGTACTGGGGTCTGTGGGGCCGTACCACGCTATGGTGCCGCTTTAGCGCCATACCAGGTCTGTGGGGCCGCTTTAGGGCCGTAGGAGGTTTCTTGTGCCGGTTTAGGGCTGTACCGAGCTCTATGGGCCGTAGTGGATTTGTGGGGGCCGATTTAGGGCTGTACCGGGTCTGTAGGGCCGGTTTAGGGCGTTGTACCGGGTCTGTAGGGGCCGGTTTAGGGTCGTACCGGGTCTGTGGGGCTGGTTTAGGGCCGTACCGGCTCCCTGGTGCCCGTTTAGGGCCGCACCGAGCTCTCCGCGCCCCCCGCTCCCACAATGGCTGCCTCGCTCCCCTCAGCGCACTGGGAGTGGCCTCCCGCGCTCCCGCCCTTTCTGCTCTCAGCCAATCAGCGCCGAGCTTCCTTCGCGCCCCGCGCCGCCGCCACGCGCTGCTCCTCCCCGCCCTTCCCGCTCCGCTTCCGCGCACGCGCGGCGGCCCCGCCCGCGCCACCGCCCCCATGGCCCCGCCCCTTTCCTCCATCGCGCCGGCGCATTGGCCGCCGGCCGCCGGCTCGCGCGCTCGGCGCCCCGCCCCCTTTCCCCCCCCCTTATAAATAGCGCGCCCCCCGGCGCGCGCCCCCTCAGACCCTCCGCGTCCCCCGCGCCGTGAGGAGCCGCCGGCGCCGCCATTATGGGGGTGAGCGGCCGGCGCCGCGCGCCGGGGGGGCTCGGCCTGAGGGGAAACAGAGCAGGGGTGGGGCCTGCGAGGTGCCGGTGAGCGGATGGGGGCCGCCGAACGGGCGGAGGGTCACCGCGAGGGGACGCGGGAGTTCCGTGAGGGAATTTGGGGTCGTCTGAGGGGCTGGGAGGTCACAGCGAGGCCTCACGGGGTTCCGTGAGGGCGTTTGGTACCGTCCCAGAGCATGAGGAGACTCTTTAGGATGCTACAGGGCTGCCTGAGGGGATTGGGGCGTCCTGTGTGGAGATTTGGGACTTTCCGTGAGTTTTTGGGGTTGTTTGAGGTCTTTGGGGTCTGCTTGTGACTCTGCGAGCGGTCTGGATGCTGCTGTGAGAAAATTGGGATATCGGAGGCTCTTGCCGCTTCTGTGAGGGTTTTCGAACCTTTCGTGAGAATTTGAGGCTCCCACGGTCAAGTGTGGGATTTTCTGAGTGGATTTGGGGCTGTTACAGAAGATTTGGGGCTGTGTAAGAGAGTTGTTCAGGACTAGAGGGGATTTAAGGGGGATTTGGGGCTGCTTGAGGATCTCGAAGTTGAATTTGGGGTTGTGCTTCCCAGACACTTCTCATGATGTCCCATCCAACCCTGCCGGAAATTTTCCACATTTTGCCCCAAAATAACCCTAAAGTGAAGATTTGTGCATCCACATCCCAGCCAGCAGCAGGTGGTGGCTGCTCCAACCCCAAAATCACTGTAATTCCCCCCAAACCCACTGATAAATGTGATTTTGAGGGACATTTACCCTGTCCTGTCCACCATCCCGCTTCCTTTTCCTGTCAAATCTTTGATTTGAGTTCATTTCACTCAATTTTTGGTTCTAAACTCAGGAGTCCCAGTCCCTCTGTGGAGATTTGGAGGGATCCCAGTGGATATTCATTTTGGGTGGAATCAGGCACATTTTGGGTGGGATCAGGCACATTTTTAGTGCCAATCTCCTCAGATTTGGGGAAAACCACCCAAAGGAACGGCTTGATGTGGCTGCTGCTTGCTGTCACCTCCTTGTCCCACCTAAAATCCCCGAGATTTTGGGGCAAAACCCCTTGAAAGCGCAGCAACACTCTGACATGAATACTAAAAATTCAACACTGATTTTATCTTTAAACCCTTTTCCCCCCACGATTTTGGGACAGTCCCTACGTGCAGTTCCACACTGATGATCTTTAATATCATTAATATTAAATCTGATCATGAATGAATTTGGGGCATTTTTGGCATGGCAGGTGGGGAGAGCTGGAAGGGCTGGTGCCAATTGGTGCCAATTCCTCTCCTTTGTTGCCATTTTGGTGCCATTTCTCAGTGTTTTGGTGCCAATCCCGTGTGTTTGGATCCATTTTGGTGCCAATTTGGTGCCATTTCTCAGCGTTTTGGTGCCATTTCTCAGTGTTTTGGTGCCATTTCTCAGCATTTTGGTGCCAATCGCGGGTATTTTGGTGCCAATCCCGGGTGTTTTGGTGCCCTTTCTCAGCGTCTCGTTGATTCTCCCCAGAGGAAGTCGGGCCGGGCCAAGGAGAAGAAGCAGCGGCGGCTGGAGGAGCGCGCGGCCATGGCGGCCGTGGTGTGCCAAGGTGGAGGCGGCCAACAAGGTGAGTCAGTGGGGCACAGCAACCGGGCACAGGGCAGGAACCGGGCATGGGCACAGGAACCGGGCACAGGGCAGGAACCGGGCATGGGGCACAGGAACTGGGCATGGGCACAGGAACCGGGCAGGGCATGGGCAGGAACCGGGCATGGGCACAGCCCTGTGCCAGCCCTGTGCCAGCCCTGTGCCCGCCCTGTGCCAGCCCTGTGCCAGCCCTGTGCCCACCCTGGCAGTGCCCTGTGCCAGCCCTGTCCCAGCCCTGTGCCCCGCCTGTGCCAGCCCTGTGCCAGCCCTGTGCCCACCCTGGCAGTGCCCTGTGCCAGCCCTGTGCCAGCCCTGTGCCCGCCCTGTGACAGCCGTGTCCCAGCCCTGTCCCAGCCCTGTGCCCGCCCTGTGCCAGCCCTGTGCCCGCCCTGGCAGTGCCCTGTGCCAGCCCTGTGCCCGCCCTGTGACAGCCCTGTGCCCACCCTGGCAGTGCCCTGTGCCAGCCCTGTGCCAGCCCTGTGCCCGCCCTGGCAGTGCCCTGTGCCAGCCCTGTGCCCGCCCTGTGACAGCCCTGTGCCCACCCTGGCAGTGCCCTGTGCCAGCCCTGTCCCAGCCCTGTGCCCGCCCTGTGCCAGCCCTGTGCCCACCCTGGCAGTGCCCTGTGCCAGCCCTGTGCCCGCCCTGTGACAGCCCTGTGCCCACCCTGGCAGTGCCCTGTGCCAGCCCTGTGCCAGCCCTGTGCCCGCCCTGGCAGTGCCCGCTGCTGCCCCTGCCCCTCTCTGCTCTCTTGCAGCTCCGGGATCCCCTCGAGGCCTTCCCGGTGTTCAAGAAGTACGACAGGAACGGGTGAGTGCCCGGGGCCAGCGGGGTACCGAGGTGGTCACCGTGTCCCAAAGGTGATCCGTGTCCCCAAAGTGTCCCCAGAGGGATCCCGGTGTCCCCAAGGTGATCCCGTGTCCCCAGGGCCATTCCCAGCATCCCCCCAGTGTCTCCAGAGCATTCCTGGGGTTCCTGAGGCCGTTCCCAGTGTCCCCACAGTGTCCCCAGTGTGTCCTCACCCTCATGTCTGTCCCGTCTGTCCGCAGCTGGACGTGTCCATCGAGTGTCCCTAACCCCGTGTCTGTCTGTCTGTCTGTCCGTCTGTCTGTCTGTCCGCAGGCTGCACGTGTCCATCGAGTGTCCCTAACCCCGTGTCTGTCTGTCTGTCCGTCTGTCTGTCTGTCCGCAGGCTGCACGTGTCCATCGAGTGCTGCCGGGTGTCCCTAACCCGGTGTCTGTCTGTCCGTCTGTCTGTCTGTCTGTCCGTCTGTCCACAGGCTGCACGTGTCCATCGAGTGCTGCCGGGTGTCCCCTAACCCGGTGTCCGTCTGTCCGTCTGTCTGTCTGTCCGCAGGCTGGACGTGTCCATCGAGTGCTGCCGGGTGTCCCTAACCCGGTGTCCGTCTGTCCGTCTGTCTGTCTGTCCGCAGGCTGGACGTGTCCATCGAGTGCTGCCGGGTGTCCCTAACCCGGTGTCCGTCTGTCCGTCTGTCTGTCTGTCCGCAGGCTGGACGTGTCCATCGAGTGCTGCCGGGTGTCCGGCCTGGAGCCGCCCACGCTGACTGGGCCTTTGAGCTGACCAAGGCCAACATGCAGAGCCTGTGAGTGCCCCGTCACAATTCTGATTTTCACACCCCAAAACCCCCGGATTTGGGGTTTTCCCACTGTGGTTTCCATTTATTCCTGTGATTTTCATTTCCCACCTCGATTTTTGCCGTGATTTCTCTCAAATCCCCAGGAACCTTTCCCCCAAATCCCTGGGGATTTTGCCCCCAAATCGCTGGGTTTTTTCCCCCCCAAATCCCCCTTTTTCCCTCTGACATCCCTTGGCAATTTTGGCCCAAACCCCCGTTTTCTACCCCAAACCCCATTTTTACCCCCCAAAGCCCCCATTTTTTGGCCCCTAAACTCCTGTTTTTCCCCCCCCAAACCCCCTTCCCCCCCCAAACCCCCACTTTTTCCCCCGAAATCCTCATTTACCCCCAAATCTTGTTTTCCCCCTAACCCCATTTTGCTCCTCCAAACCCCCATTTTTTGCCCCCCAAACCCCCCCAAAATCCCCATTTTGCCCCCCTCAATCCCATTTTCTCCCCCAAACCCCATTTCCACTCCCAATTCCTGGTTTTTTGCCCCCAATCCCATTTTTCGCCCCCCAAACCCCATTTCCACTCCCCAAAACTCCTGTTTTCCCCCCCAAAAATCCCCATTTTTCTCCCCCAATCCCCCGTTTTTTGCCCCCAAACCCCAATTTTTTTACCCCAACCCCATTTTCCCCCCAAAATCCCCATTTATCCCCTCCCTGTGCCAGGTACGAGCAGAGCGAGTGGGGCTGGAAGGAGCGCGAGAAGCGGGCGGAGCTGCGGGGACGAGCGCTCCTGGTTCCTGCTGGCCCGGAGGCGCCGGGGGCGGCGGCCGGTGGCGTTCTGCAGCTTCCGCTTCGACGTGGAGGGCGGCGACGAGGTGCTCTACTGGTGAGACGGGGAATTTGGGGTGAAATCCGGGGATTTTGGGGTTCCTGAGAGAAATCTGGGGTTCTTGGGGTGAGATCCGGGGGTTTTGGGGTTTGGCGTTCTGCAGCTTCCGCTTCGACGTGGAGGGCGGCGACGAGGTGCTCTACTGGTGAGACGGGAATTTGGGGTGAAATCCGGAGTTTTGGGGTGAAATTCAGGGATTTCGGGGGTTCTTAGGGTTCCTGGGGTGATATCTGTCAGTTTGGGGTTCCCCTGGCCGGTTCTGCAGCTTCCGCTTCGACGTGAAGGGCGGGGATGAGGTGCTCTACTGGTGAGAGGGGAGAATTTGGGGTGAAATTCAGGGATTTGGGGGCTTTGGGGTGATATCTGGGGGTTTGGGTGAAATCTTGGGTTTTTGGGGTGCAATCTCTTGGTTTCGGGGTGAAACTTGTCAGTTTTGGATGATGAAACCTGTCAGTTTTGGGGTGATATCTGTCAGGTTTTGAGGTTTTTGGGCTGAAACCTGTCAGTTTTGGGGTTTCTGAGGTGAATCTCTCACTTTTGGGGTGCAATCTGTAATTTTTGGGGTTTTTGGGGGTGCAATCTGTCAGTTTTGGGTGCAGTGTGTCAATTTTGGGGGTGTTTGGGTTGAAACCTGTCGGTTTTGGGGTCCCCAGTTACGAGGTGCAGCTGGAGAGCCGCGTGCGGCGCCGGGGGCTGGGCAAGTTCCTGCTGCAGATCCTGCAGCTCGTGCCAACAGGTGAGAAACGGGGGAAATTCCGGGGGTTTGGGAAATTCGGGGTTTGGGGGGCAATTTTGGGGATTTGGGTGGAAAATATGGGAATTTTGGGGGAAAATATCGGGGTTTTGGGAAAATATGGGGGGTTGGGAAGTATTGGGGGTTTGGGGGAAATCGGGGGGAATATGGGGGAAATTTGGGGGGTTTGGGAGGAAAATGGGGCAGTTTAAGGTGAAAGCAGGGTGGTTTTGGGGTGAATTGGGGCAGTTTTGGGGTTCCCCAGGGCAGTTTTGGGGTGAATTTGGGCGGTTTCAGGTGACGTTTTTGGGGTTCAGCACGCAGATGAAGAAGGTGATGCTGACAGTGTTGGGGCAGTTTTTGGGGTGAATTGGGGCAGTTTTGGGGTGATGTGACCCAGGGCAGTTTTGGGGTTCCCCAGGGCAGTTTTGGGGTGAATTTGGGCGGTTTCAGGTGACGTTTTTGGGGTTCAGCACGCAGATGAAGAAGGTGATGCTGACGGTGTTCAAGCACAACCACGGAGCCCTGCAGTTCTTCAGGGACGCCCTGCAGTGAGTGACGGACGGGGACAGAGGGCCAGACGGACAGGGACGGGGAGGGGACAGGGCTGGCAGGGAGGGGACACCGAGGGTGACACAGAGGTGACAGTGTGACACAGAGGGTGACGGTGTGACGGGGAGGTGACACAGGGAGGTGACAGCGGTGACACAGAGGTGACACAGTGGCACGGGGAGGTGACAGTGACACACACACACCTGTCATTGCGGTCACACGGGTGACAGCGGTGACAAGGGGTGACACGGTGACACGGGGAGGTGACACAGAGGGTGACGGGTGTGCCTTCCTTGCAGTGACACAGTGACAGGGAGGTGACAGTGGTGACACAGAGGGTGACACAGTGACACGCCTGTCATTGCAGGGGCATGGGAGGTGACACAGGGAGGTGACAGCAGTGACACAGTGACAGTGACACGTCTGTCGTTGCAGTGACACGGGGAGGTGACAGCAGTGACACAGGGGTGACACACAGGGTGACAATGTGACACGCCTGTGCCTGTCCTTGCAGTGGCGGGGGCTCGGACTGAGGTGGGTGCTCGGGACCCCCAAATTTGGGGGATTTTTGACCCTTTTTGGGACACTGCGGGGGTCAGGCTGAGTTTGGGGGGCTGAAAGTGAATTTGGGGGGTCAGGGTGACAATGGGGGTGACACTGGGGTGGTCTAGGTTGATTCTGGGGGTCCCACCCTGTCCCCCCCATTTTCCCTCCTGGTTCGAGGTGAGTTTGGGAGTTCAGGGTTTCATGGGGGGGGTCCAGGCTGAGTTTGGGGGCTCAGTGTAAATTTGGGGGGGTCCAGGTTGATTTTGGGGTCCCCCCCTGCCCCCGTTTTTGTGTCCCCCCCCCAGGTTCGAGGTGGACGCCTCCTCCCCGAGCGTCTCCGGCTGCTGCGGGACGATTCCTCCTACGAGATCCTGAGCAGGAGCACCAGATTTGGGGAGCCCATCCCGGGGGGGGTCCCTGTGCTGGATGCTGCCACTGGACACCCCAAAAACTGCCCACAACCAGCCCAAAACCACATCAAAAACAGCCCCAAAATCAGCCAGAAACAGCCCAAAAACTGCCCAAAAATCCCCCAAAACAGCCCCAAACACTCCGGAACCACCCCAAAACCGCCCAGTAAACCCCCCAAAACCCCCCCAAAACAGCCCAAACCCCCCCCAAATCCTCCCTCCCCCCCGGATCAGGGATTTGGGGGTGGGAAGGGAATTTTGGAATTTTTTTTGGTTTTTTTTCTGAATTTTTTTTTTTGTTTTTTTTGAATTTTTTTTGGGTTTTTTTTTCAGGCGTTATTGTTTGTACGGGATAATGAATAATTAAATAAATAATGAAGAAGCTTTAACGAGGCTTTAATTGTGTTTGGGGCGGGGCTATACTAATGAGGGGCATGGTCTGCTCTGTGTTATGACTGAATTATGTTAATGAGGGGTGGAGCTATGCTAATGAACGCATGATCCATACGCTACAAGTGTTATAAATGAATTCTGTTAATGAGGGGCGGGGCTACGGTAAAGAGGGGCGTGTCCCACACGCTACGAGCATTATGACTGAATACGGTAATGAGGGGCGGAGCTATGCTAATGAGAGGCCTGGTCCACGTGCCACAGCGTCGTTATGACTAAATTAAATCAGTGAGGGGCGTGGCTATGCTAATAACCGCGTGTCTTACCGTACGAGCGTTAGGACTGACTTATGCTAATGAGGGGGGCGTGGTCAGACAGACGGGGCGGGTCTACTAAACGTAATCGCCGCGCGCCGGAAGTGACGCCACAGAGCAGCGCCATTGCCGCCGCCATGATGCCGCTGCTCGCCCTCAGCGCCCGCTCCCTCCTGCGCTCCGCGGCCCGGCCGGGCCCGGCCCCGCGCTGGATCCGCTCGGGGCCCGCGCAGAGCCCCGTGAGCACCGGGGTGAGCCCGGGGGGGAGCGGCGGGGGCGGCGGGCGCGGGGTGACCTTGGGCGGGAGGGAAACCGGGAGCGGCTCCGGTTCTAACGGCGCCGCGCCCTCAGGACACCGTGCTGGGCTTCGCCGCCGTGTTCGCCTCGGTGTTCCTGCCCGCCGCCTGGGTGCTCGGCCACATCCAGGACTACAAGAAACGGACGAGGACGAGGAGGCGTGAACCGGGCCCGCCGCACCGGGACCAGCCCCACCACCGGGACCCCCCAACCCCACCGAGCACCGGGACCAGCGCCGGGACCACCGGGAGGCGCCGCCCCCGCCATGGGACCCCCCCCGACCCCTCCCCCGCCTCAATAAAGGCCGCGGATTCCGCCTGAGCCGCCCCGAGTCCGTCCCGCCGCACCGGAACCGGGGGTGTGACGTCACTGATGGCGTCACGGGCAACGGCGCCGTTTGGGGCGGCGGTGGGGAGGGGTTGCTAGGGGCGGGGTTTGTTGCTAGGGGCGGGACCAGCGCGACAAAATGAACCGGGAGGCGGAGTTTGCTGCTATAGGCGGGGCTCGTTGTATAGGCGGGGCTCGTTGCGACGGGCAGGACCACTGACGTGGGCGGGGCTTGTTGCTAGGGGCGTTGCCAATAGACGTTGGCGGGATTTGCTGCCATGGGCGGGGCCCAGCGCTGTGGGCGGGATTTCTCAGGGGCGGGTTCAGGGGGTGGGCGGGGTCTATTCTTAGGGGCGTGGCCAAGGCAATGGGCGGGGTTTGTTATCAAGGGCGGGACAAAAGACTGGGCGGGGCTTGTTGTCAAGGAACGGGCCAAATGGCAGTGGGTGGAGTTTGTTGCCAAGGGCGGGTCCAACGCAGCGGGCGGGGTTTGTTGTCAGGGGCGGGGGTTTGTTATCGGGGGCGTGGCCCCGCCATTCTCCGGTTCCCGGTGCGGGGTCGGTACCGGGGGTCGCCGCCTCAATTCTCGCTCCGTTTTGGGGTCGGGGCCTCCTTCCAAACCTTTTCTGGGGGCGGAGCCTCTGCTTTCCCGCCATTCCCATCAACAGGAAGCGTTGCCATGGGCGGGGCCTGTTGCTATGGGCGCGGTTTCCCCACACCGCCCTCATTGGTGCGCGGCCTTTTACCGGAAGTTCCCTCACCGAAGTTTTGGCGGTCCCGTTCCGGTTCGGGCCGCACTTCCGGCGGAAGCGACGTGGCGGTGACGTCAGCGCGGCCGGTGCTCCCGGTGGCGGCTCCGGAGCCCGCGGTGAGGGCGGGGGGGCGGGGCGGGCCCGGAACTCCCTGAGACTCCCCGGACCCCCCGGACCGCCGGGCTTGGCGGTTCCGGTTCCCCCGGTGGGTTCCGGCGCCCCCCCGGTAACTCCCGGTCCCTCCCGGTGCCCCCGGCGCGCAGGCCCCGATGAGCCCCGATGCAGGCGCGCCGCCGGCTCGGGCCTAGGCAGCGGGAACCGGCCCAGGCCTCCCCCCCGGGGCCCCCCCGCGCTCCGGTCCTGCCGCCGCCACCGGAGCCGCCCCCGGCCGCCGACGTCATGTCGTGTCGCGACAGGACCCAGGAGTTCCTGTTCGCCTGCAAATCGCTGCAGGGACGGCAGGTGCGACCGGGACACACCGGGACCCCAACGGGGGCCCCAGATCTCCCCGGAACCCCCCGAGCCCAAATCCCCCCAAGCCCTCACTCTGGGGGTCCCCAAATCCCCTTCGGGCCCCAGCCCCAAATCCCCCTCCCCTCCTTTATCGGGGGTCCCCAAATCCCCCCGGGGATCCCCAAATCCCCCCTTTGCCTCATCCCGGGTCCCCAAATCCCCGACACCCCTCGACCCCGAATCCCCCTCCCCTCCTTTATCGGGGGTCCCCAAATCTCCCTCTCCCCCCCCTTTTCCTCACCCTGGGGTCTCCCCCGTTTTCCCTCCTCTCCCTCACTCGGGGGTCCCCAAATCCCCCTCCCCGGCTTTGTCTGGGCGTCCCCAAATCTCCCTCCTCGCCATTTGCCCCATTTGGGGGTCCTCCAATGCCCCCCCCGACCCCTCCTGTGCCCCCTCCCCACCTCGGGGGTCCCCCGAACCCCCCCTGACCCCCCGTTGTCCCCCAGGTCGGGGGGCTCCAGGTGGGCAGAGCAGCCCCCGGGCCAGGGCGGCAGCGCAGCGAGTTCAGCCTGATGGCAAAGTGAGGAGGGGGCTGCAGGGGGAACTGGGGGGTCTGGGGGGTCCTGGGGGGGTCAGGCACACAGTTCAGCCTGATGGCAAAGTGAGGAGGGGGCTGCAGGGGGGAACTGGGGGGTCCTGAGGGGGTCAGGGACACAGTTCAGCCTGATGGCAAAGTGAGGAGGGGGCTGCAGGGGGGAACTGGGGGGTCTGGGGGGTCCTGGGGGGGGTCAGGCACACAGTTCAGCCTGATGGCAAAGTGAGGAGGGGGCTGCAGGGGGGAATTGGGGGGGTCCTGAGGGGGTCAGGGACACAGTTCAGCCTGGATGGCAAAGTGAGGAGGGGGCTGCAGGGGGGAATTGGGGGGTCCTGAGGGGGTCAGGGACACAGTTCAGCCTGATGGCAAAGTGAGGAGGGGGCTGCAGGGGGGAATTGGGGGGTCTGGGGGGTCCTGGGGGGCTCAGGCACACAGTTCAGCCTGATGGCAAAGTGGGGAGGGGTCCTGGGGGGGTCCTGGGAGGGTTCAGGAATTGGGGTGGGGGTCTCCAGGTGTGGGGGCTTTGGGTCTCTTGGAATTGGGGCTGGGGTCCGCAGGAATTGGGGACGGGTTTGAAAATTGGGGGGTGGGATCCTCGGGAATTGAGGTGGGTGGGGGGCTCCAGGTGTGGGGCTGGGGTCCTCCAGGAGCTGAGGGTTGGGATCCCCATGAGTTGGGGTTGGGGTCTCCATGAATTGGGGCTTTGGGTCCCTGGGAATTGGGGCTGGGGTCCCCAGGTGTGTGTGTGGGGGGGGAGGGATCCCCAAATGTGGGGAGGGGTCTCCAGCCCCATCCCCCCCCCCAGGCGCATTGGGAAGGATCTCAGCAACACCTTCGCCAAGCTGGAGAAGCTGACCCTGCGTGAGTGGGGGGCTCGGGGGGCTTGGGGGGATCCTGGGGGGCTTTGGGGGGTCCTGGGGGGATTTGGGGGGTCCTGGGGGGGTTTGGGGGGTCCAGGAGGGAAAATTGAGGGGGTTTCGAGGTATTTGGGGGATCCTGGGGGGGCTTTGGGGGGTCCTGGGGGGTCCTTGGGGAGTTCCAGGGGAATGTTTGGGGGTCTCTGGGTGTTTTTTGGGGGTTCCTGTGTGTTCTGGGGTGTTTTTGGGGTGTTTTTGGAGGGTCTCTGGGTGGTTTTGGGTTCCTGTGTGTTTCTGGGGTGTTTTTGGGGGGGGTCTGTGTATTTTTGGGGTGTTTTTTGGGGTGTTTTGGGAGTGGTTTTGGGGTCCCTGGGGTGTTCTTGGGGTGGTTTTTGGGGCTCTCTGGGTGGGTTTTCGGGGGTCTCTAGAGGTTTTTAGGATTTCCTATGTGTTTTTGGGTGATTTGGGCTGGTTTTGGGCTCCTGTTTGTTTTTGGATTGTTTTGGGGGTTCCTGTGTGTTTTTGAGGTGGTTTTGGGGTGATTTTGGGGTGACTTTGGGCTGTTTTGGGTTCCCTGCAGTGGCCAAGCGCAAATCCCTGTTCGACGACAAATCCGTGGAGATCGAGGAGCTGACCTACATCATCCGGCAGGTCTGGGCTTTGGGGGTCCCCCTGCCCCTCTGGGGGTCCCGGCGGGGTTTTGGGGGTCCGGGTGACTTTGGGCTGACTTTGGGGTGACGTTGGGGTGATTTTTGGCTGATTTTGGGTGACTTTGGGCTGATTCTGTGCTGACTTTGGGGTGATTTTTGGCTGATTTTGGGCTGATCCT